CATGACTGTCACGTCGATTGGCGTATAGGTTCCCAAATGTGCTAGGGTTTAGCGCATTCTCTTGGTAGTTTCAGCCTTTTTTAACCAGAATACCTGACAAAAATATCAACAAGCAATTTTGCAAGCATTAGGTGGTTTCTTCCATAATCTCAGGGAACTTTCCATCCCAGGGAACTGGGGAGGCTCAGAGAAGGCCCCCATCGGTTGGCTTTTTTTCTAATAAGCCAAAACGGCTTATTAAGAAATAAAAATAAATTTATAGGTAAAATTTATATATATATATATATATATATATATATATATATATATATATGTTCTTTGTAATTTAAAAGCCAATGCTGAAAAAGAAACTACGTTGAAAATATCTCAAAATCAATCTCAAAATTAAGTTTAAAAATTTAAAATTTAGCTTATTCTTTGGTTTATTGGACCATCCGATGGGAGCCTAGCTGTGCTCAGCTCTATGGTATGCTTCGTCCGCAATTCTCAAGTTCAGTTTCTCAGCATTCTGTGCAAAGTTCATTTTCAGTGGGTGCAATGGAAGACCCATTCTCTAAAAGAGCTGCACTGAAGTACACTGAAGAAATTAAAGACTAGGTAAGCTACCTAGCTTGTGATCATCCGTTGATCACTTGCTGAAATTAAGCTGCTACTCTTTGATCATCATCAGACATCAGCTGTGGGTAGCTTAATTAAGATCGACGATAATGGCGAGCTTGAAGCTTAGGGCGTGCGTGCTTCTGTCCACCGTGTTCTTCTTCTCCGGGCTCATGCAGCTGTCCATGGCGCAAGCTGGCTCGCCGGCGGCGGCGACGGCGACGGCGACGACGGCGCGGGTGATCGACGTGAAGGCGGTGGATCAGGCGGTCGCCTACCTGCTCATGCTCGCGGCGCTGTTCGTCACCTACCTAGCGCACTAACTAACTAATTACTCCGTATTATTTATTTTAAGTTCGCTAGAAAGGGGCATGCCAAATCGTGTCCTTGTTGATTTGAGCACTGTAAACATGCTGTATAATTGCATAATTATTTCACTGTAAGCATGCATAATTGCACATGGCTTATATAATTATATGGAGATAAGTTTTCAAGTTGTTCCTATTTGAATTAGAAAAATGTTTCATGTATGTTTGACAGTTCGAGTTGTCAAAACTTGTAAAGAGAGAGATACGATTCTATGCACGGAGACAGCTCCCGGGTAGGTATGTTGGACAGTCATCTAGGATCCATCGCTGCTGTCTCGTACTACGGACAGCCTTCGACATGCTATAGTCATCCGGGCTTGATGGTGGTTGGCTCCGCTATATTGTGTTCCTGTTATTTTCTAAGAAATTGTTCTTCTATTTGAATTTGAATGTTTGTACGCTCACAAGATGTTTGAAGTGCCTTTTCCCTTGGAGAAAATTTTTTTATGTTTAAAAATACAAGTATATATAACTTGCCAGGCATATTAAATCTTCGTTTGGAAGTGCATTCCCTTAACTTTTCTACGGCATGTAAAAAGAGACAAACGATTAACGCATGATTAATCGAATATTTATTATTATAAACATAAAAAATGAGTCTATTTGACTTTTAAAGAAACTTCTATATAAAACGTTTTTTTAAAAAAATGCCATTTAGCCGTTTGGGAGATATGCTAATGGAAAAGGAAGTTGCATGTCGGAAACGATGAAATGAATGGGGCCTAAACCATATATATACTCCCTCCATTTGTTTTTGTTTGATAGGATGGGGTAGTATTATATTAATGATCTTAGGGTTGAATGTTGCAACATGCATATATATAGTGTATATAGTCTTTTGGGTTGCAATTCATCACTTGCATCAATTGCAATTCTTCTCGTTCAAATTAAGATGCCTGTGGTTTTGTCGGAAACTTGGAAGAATTGATTCTGGGGTCAAGGATTGCATGAAGACCATACATTCCGATTTCCGAGTCAGCCGTCAAGGTACTAAAAATTGACGTTAATTTAACGGACCAACTATTCTGACCTCACCTGGTTTATCAGCTCTAATAAAAAAGAGGACAGAAATGCAACCCAACTTACCTAACCGTCAAGGTACCTTTCTTGCTTGTATATCATATATATCAGAGAAAAATCTACCCCACCATCTGTCTTAAACACTAGCCTAAAGCCCGTGCGTCGCAACAGAAAACAAATTAAGGTTTTTGCTTATTAAATTAATTAATAATCACTTATTTAGTCTAAGTAATATTATGATTTTTCTTATTGAACAAGTGATTTTGAAATTTAGGAATCTAATGGTGAAATAGGGGAGGACTTGTTGAAAGGTGGTGTAATAATATAGATTATAGGGCCCAGTTTTAATATTGTGGAAATAAACACCATCGCTAGTCGCAATAGTATAAATATGAATCTTAGAGGGCATATAGTTAAACCTCAAGGTGCAAAGGCCGAAAAATATTCCATCATCTTAAAAATAAAAGGTTAAACCTCAAAATCTAAAACCACTAATACAGTTTAACCTTAAAAACGGATTCAGAATGCAGAGCCAAAATACAGAGATTCACGTATCCCTTAATTAAGAAATGGTTGCTTTTTTGGACTTATAATCATACATGTGACCTAATCAAAGAATTAATCTTATGGTAAGACTATTGTACCTACTTCTAATTTTAGCGACCCAAAAGTCAAAACTTGAAATATTAGGAAAAAAAATCCCTTAAATAAATCTAAAATTAAATACTAAAACTCAAGTTTGCTATGGCATATAAGCAGCAAAATCCTTAACGCCAATGCAAATGCTGTCGAATATTACCAGGCATACTCAAATTAATTCGATGACTTTTTTTTACTTTACTTAACTAGGTAATAAAATAAATACTGTTGGTCAAATTTTTAAGAAAATGTTAACTACTACTCCACCCGTCCCATAATATAAGAAATTTTAGGTTTTTGCTTGTACTGTTTGATCACTCGTCTTATTCAAAAAAATTTGGAATTATTTTTTTTTTTGACTTACTTTATTATCCAAAGTATTTTAAGCACAACTTTTCGTTTTTTATATTTGCACAAATTTTTTGAATAAGATGAGTGGTCAAACAATGTAAACAAAAACTCAAAATTCTTTATATTATGGGATAGAGGGAGTACAACGTATACTTACAAACGGAGGTAATATTTTACAATGTCGGTAATCACATTATTGGGCGTGCCTGCCCTGCGTTGCAGTACGGAAATATAGGACAGAACAGCACGACAATGGCCCGGTCAGAATTGTTCTGCTGCTCTCTTATTAACGCTGTTCCTTCTGAAAATTCTGCAATAAATTTCTGTCTCATTGTATGATAGAGTCTGTATCCAACTATCAAATACAAAAACAAAAAAACATCCGAGTATCTGCCTCGTGCGAGAATTAATTAAACCAGACGTGGCTATCATTAATTAATTGTAGTCATTAGAGCACAGTTAGTGGCCGGCTTGCAAGTAGTACGTACGTAGTGGAGTAGCTCCAAATTAGTTGATGAAATACCTTCTAGCTAGTCAATCTCGCCGAGCCAGACTCTCACAGACTGACCGGTTCAATATATCATCTCCTCATTCAGTTTCTCTCCTCGAGTCCTGATCAAACCAAGCACACTACTGACAATTCATCGATCGATCACTGCGTGCTACTCCGAAAGTCCGAATTGCATGTAGAAATATATATATATATATATATATATATATATATCCATATTCCTTCCCCTCGCACTGTGGGAGATCGAGTCAGACACGTACTACTGCACTAGAGCAAAATCCATTCGTCTTGAAACTATTATTATTATTATTATTATTATTATTCACTTAATCAGAAGATGGCATGCTGTTCTTCTTCGGTCCAGGCTCGTCGATGGCTATGGGCCAAATAGGAGATCGCATAGGGCCTCCTTTATGTGGCCCATATAAACATGAAGGCCCACTTCCAATTGCTCAACCATAGCATGCAACAACCAATAGCTCAATAGGCAGATCGATTAACAAGGCCAAGCCAGGGGGTGGGGCACTACTAGGCTGTGCGATCGTCTAATTTTTTTTGGCCCTAGTGCTGGCTGCTGTGCAATCCTAATTCCACGCCACACTAACTGCCGAGATGTCGATCCCAATTCCACGTGTGGCGACCGGCGACACAGCTTGTTGCTTGCGACTCTGAGGCTGCAGCTACCTCGCCTCGGTTAGCTCTTGGCTCCTGCTTTCCCCCTCCTCGTCCGCTCGTCATCCTCGACTTGACCCTCGACAGTTCATCCTCAGACTGGTAAGATTAGACTTCATAATATGCATCAAATTACCACTAGTTTATGATAGATTAAATCAAATTATCATGTTATGGGTATAGCCCATCAACATCGTGTCCAACCCTAAAACTGTTTATATTTTGAGGCAATATTATTTTCTCTTGCTAATCGAGTGTGTGCATAACTTAGAAATGAATATGGTATGTTTTGATTTACAGAAATGAATGCCAAACCAATAAGATGATTTCTGTGCAACAAAAGTTATTGTACAAAATTCCTACTTTGGTTTTTCTTCTTCTTCTTTCGGAAAAAAAAAACATGGCTCGGCAAAACAGGACATGGAATTTTCATCTGACTAATGGAAACCAAAAGTTCGGTAGCATATCACGATGCCCTGAAATGCGTGGCAAATATTTTAAGAAGTTTCCTGTTGTTTCTATGAGTGCTTATATATCTGCCTATATCATCCGTTTTCAACTTGAGACCGTCATGCATTCGTCCTAATGGTATTGCTCAGTATTCATTCTTGCATCTGGCTCTGGCCATTTATCAGAGAACACAATTAAAACAACTCCAGTCATACTGTTAATGCTATGTTCGGTTAATCCCCAAGAGAGAGGGATTGGAGGGGATTTATTCCACACCTATTGTGGTGTGGAATTATTCCCCCTCAAATCCCTCCAAACCCCTTCAACCCCTTCCATACCGAACAAGGCGGTCAGGGGCTCAGGGCACAGTACCCCGTTCGAATAATCCAACCTGCTTTGAACTTTGAGGCACATTTTGTACGATTTCAAACGATGGCACATGAGTTCTATACATCCATTTCTCAACAAGTTCAACCAAACAAGGATCAGATCATGATCATCAGAACCCCTTTTAATCTGCACCATATCTCACCCCACAACCAAACTACATACAACCACACCAAGCAGCAGCAGAATTAAGGAGAAAAACATCCGAAAACACTACACAGGCTGCAGCATTCATGGTACATGGTACACTCTAGCTATAGCTGCTGCTTGATTTGATTTATCAGTACCAGGGCGAGTCCGGGACGGCGGTGATGACGGTCTTGACCTGCAGGTACTTGTCCATGGCGACCATCCCTTGGTCCCGGCCGAACCCGCTCATCTTGTACCCGCCGAACGGCGCGTCGGGGTCGAAGGCGAAGTAGCAGTTCACCCACACCGTGCCGGCCCGCACTGACCTCGACACCATGTTGGCAATGTTGAGGTTCTTGGTCACAATGCCGGCAGCCAGCCCGTACTTGGTGCAGTTGGCCTTCTCTATCGCCTCCTCCACCGTCCTGAAGAAAAAAAAAAGTTCAGATCATAAGTCAAGTTTTCAGAATGTTTTTTTTTGTTTGTTTTGGAGATGAGATCAGATCATCGAAACTTGTGAGGTTTTTGAGTACTGACTTGAACTTCATGAGGGACATCACCGGGCCGAAGATCTCCTCTTGCGCAATCGTCATTTCCTCCTGCATGGAGGATCAACCCAGATGAGCATTGTTGATTTGATTTGATTGTGCTTCTAAATGTAAGCTGGTTACCTTGACATCCACAAATATGGTAGGCTCAATGTAGTATCCTTTGTCACCAGTGGGTTTGCCACCTGTGAGTAGGGTTGCTCCCTCGTTCTTGCCGATCTCAATGTACTTGAGAACCCTCTCAAATTGGACCTTGTCAACCTAGCAAATGAAAACATAATGTTCATAAGTTCTGATACAATTGTCCATTTTGTCATCTCAATGTTTTTTCTTCCATTGCTCGCATTTCGACAGAAAATGTTTCAGAACAAAAATATGAAAATAGTAGGATAATATTACCTGAGGACCCATATTGGTGGCAGCATCAAAAGGGTCTCCAACTTTCCAGTTCTTGGCAGCCTCCACGGCCTTCTTCACAAACTCATCGTAGATCCCTTCTTGGACATAGACGCGTGACCCGGCCACGCAAATCTCTCCCTGAAAATTTCAGACGCCAGTAGCACGGTCAGTTTTTTTTTGCTCTGAAGTTCAGAGTCTGAACTGAACACTCCTAACCTGAACATTTCTGAACCTTGGTCCGGTGCATAGTGCATTTAGTTACCTTGTTGAAGAAAACTGCAAGGGATGACAGACTGACAGCCATGTCGACATCGGCGTCGTCGAAGACTATCATCGGAGACTTGCCGCCGAGCTCAAGAGACACATTCTTCAGGTTGCTCCGCGCCGCCGACTCCATGATGGCACGGCCGATTTCAGCAGAGCCAGTGAAAGCAACCTGACATATGCACAACAACATTTCGGTCAGAAACTCATTCAGACAAAAACCTGAAACGCTACAGTACCAGATGGTGATCGGAGTGCTCACACTGTCGACGTCCATGTGGGAGGAGAGTGCCGCACCGGCTGTCGGCCCGAATCCCGGGACGACGTTGATCACTCCATCCGGAACTCCAGCCTGAATGATGATATCAAAGGTACACTGAATTATCATCCAAATTCTAGAAAATCAACTCAAGAACAAGAAGAAAAGCAGGCATGAAAACAAAAGGGTGGATTTGGTTTGAACATTGGTTACCAGCTTGGCGAGGTGAGCGTAGTACAGAGCGGAGAGGGGCGTCTGCTCGGCGGGCTTGACGACGATGGTGCAGCCGGCGGCGAGGGCGGGGCTGACCTTGAGGAAGAACATCATGGTGGGGAAGTTCCAGGGGATGATGACGCCGACGACGCCGATGGGCTCCCTGAGGGTGTACCCCTGGTACTTGCCGGCCACCCGAAGGGACTCGCCGTGGATCTTGTCGGCCGCGCCGGCGTAGTACCGCATCATCTGCGCCGCGGCGGGCATGTCGATGATCTTGCCCAGCGTCAGCAGCTTCCCGGCGTCGGCGCCGTCCAGCGCCGCCAGCTCGTCGGCGTGCTGCTCCACCAGGTCGGCCAGCTTGTTCATCACCCTGCTCCTCTCCTGCGTGACGGCAACATTGTTTGTGGATTTTGTCGGACAAGCTACAGTACCATACAGTAAATTGGACGAACTTGTAAAATTTGGCTCTGAAGAAGATCATATGGGAGTGGAAACACGTACATAGCCTGACATGCGGGGCCACTTGCCGTGCTCGAAGGCCTCTCTCGCGGCCTTGACGGCGAGGTCCACATCAGCCTTGTCTGCCTCTGCGATGTGGGCCAGGACATCGCCTGTTCGTGGGTCCCTTGTCTTGAATGTCTTGCCTGTAAAAATCAAATCCACATAGAAACAATTACATTTGTCCGTTTTCGTTCTTGAAACAAGATTTAAGGAGATAGAGATTAACATTTTGAGTTTTTCCATGGTCCTTTGGGTGATGTCTTTTAGTTTATCTCTTTGCACCATCATTTTTTTCCTTAGTAGTAATATAGGGCCAGACCTTTGAGATTAGCTGAGTGGGTGGATTAAGAATAAAGCACAGGCTAGGCCCATATAATTAGGGGTTGGCTCGATAGGTGGATCGAGAATAAAATGCTGGACCCTAGGTGGAATGATGGACAGAGAACAGAAGGAGGACGACTGCACTTTTAAAGTGGTAGAGATAACTATTTTCAGTTGAAAAAGTATGACTTGATTTATCACGAGAGTGAAGTATCCACTTCACACAAACATAAGAGGAAAAGAAAAGACCGTGGCAAATATTTTTAGAAAAGTTGAAAAAGTCAAACACTTTAATAGAGTGAACATTATTTCCATTCTTGTAAACCCTAATTTTGATATTACCTTCGTCCCGAAGTAATTGTAATTCTAAATTATCTTATCATATACTCTCTCTGCTTCATATTATAAATCGTTTGACACTTTTCTTAGTCAAAGTTGTTTAGGTTTGACCAAGTTTATAGAAAATATTAGCAACATCTACAATGCCAAATTAGTTTCATTAAATCTAACATTGAATATATTTTGATAATATGTTTGTTTTGCATTGAAAATGTTACTATATTTTTATATAAACTCGGTCAAACTCAAAGAAATTTAACTAAAAAAGTGAAATGACTTATATATGATACAGAGAAGAAAAACTATGATGTCTCTCATTCAATGGTGCATATGTAAAAGTGGGAGGGTGCTTGAGAGTAAAATATGGAGGAATTTGAATGGGAAGTGATTGATGAGATAATTTGTACTTTATTACGAAAACCATTTGAGATAATTTGAATTCTAGAAATATAATTATTATGGGACAGAAGTGGTACAAGAGTACAAGACACTGATCAAAATTTTCAACTTTGATCGGTTGCAATGGCCAATCCAAATAGAGGAAGAACAATTTGAGATTTTTCAAAGTTTTGTACCGACAGGACCTTCTTGGTCCATCTTTTTTTTTTTTTTGAAAGCAAGGTCCATTTTGTTAGTGGCACAATGAGGGAATGCCGAGGATTATGAACAGAATCCCACGAGAATGGAAGATATTTATGACTAGTCAAAGCTGTTCCCTCTCACCATGACGTCATGTCTACGTGGAGCCACACTCACATTGATTCCCTTTTTCCATTTTTAGGGTGGATATTTTTCTGAGGGCATAATAAATGCTGGATAATTTGTTTTCTCTTGTAAATAAATAAAGCTATTCCCCCTACAAAGAAACCAAAATTTTTTTAACTGCCTTAATTTGCAATCGCAGTGCACGCCACGTTTGGCCACTTGACGTACGATTCATGGTGCTTCATGTAGTAGCTAGCTAATACCCTCTCCGATTTGGCACAATTGACATTTAAACATAACCATTCATCTTATTTTAAAAAATCATAAGGTTATTATTTATTTTATCATTATATATATACTTTAAGAATAACTTGTATTTTTTTTATGTTTACACACAATTTTAAATCTGACAAATAGTCAAACAAATGTGTGTCCTAAAAAGTTGTTATATATTAAAATCGGAGGGAATAGCTAGCTTGTCATGTGTGCTGTGCTGGCCGGCTGCTAATGCTAGCTTAGCTAAGGAGATAAACAAAAATATATTCTTTATTATTTGTAGATATCTGTATAGCTGGGAGCGAGACATATAGAACGTACACAACCGTTTTGACTTGGCTTCGATCTGGCCTCCTGTTTCTACGGATGCAACCACGTCTAAGAGTCAATATCATGTGCTCATTTCATAATGCCAAAGTACATGACTCATGCATGACGCAAAACTTTGTTTCATTCATGCTTTATATACTTGTGATGAATGATGTAAAAGAAAATATATAATAATTAAGAGAAAATAAATAACACCGAATTAAAAAAACTATAGGAATTACGCTTTAATTTAATTAATTAACTACTTCTGATGAATGATATATATGATGCAAAAAGAATAAAGAGAGAAAGAAATAACATATAAAACACTATAGGTTATATTATTGCAATAAATTAACCACCAGCAGACATGGCTACTTACGTATATGGTAACTGATATAAATGATATAAATGTGTGGTGTACCGTTAGTACAAGGGTTCATGGACATGGATGGTCGTTTAATGTTTTGATGGAGGCAGCAAGAATTCCTTTTTTTTGTTTAACGAATCATGAGCCACCAATTTTATTAAATAGAACAGGAGAAATTTGTGAAAATATAGTACAGCTAGCTAGATCCAGAGCAGTTAGATTCTTTGCCCCCGTAAGGTTTAAGTTTTAACCTCCTCTTTAATTTTCAGTATTAGATCGGTCGTCGAGAGTTTTCCATGTTGGAACATACTCTTTCTTTCATTTTCAGGAGACCGCGAGAATTGAAGAGAAAGCTAGCTAGCTAGCGGCTATTTTCAAAACAAAAAAAACAAAACAAAAACCGCCTCAGCTCTATAGCAACACGCAGTACATCATATTCATACGTACCTACATATTTGTACATTATATTCATACACGTACGTACCTACATATTTCTCTAATTTTTATGCAAGAAATCGAGCATGAGTTAACTCCAATAAATTAGTTCGTCAACAGAGTACCATCATATCGTTTGCATTCCATGCTCGATGTTAAGCCGTTAGTTTTCCTTGGGAGAGATTTTGATCAGTTGGCTGACGACGACAACGACAGTGCGTATACGGTAAAATACTAATATACGTGACAAAATTGTTCATAACTATATATATATATATATATATATATATATATATATATATTGCAGGATTGTTCATAACTATTAATTTGTAGAGGCCGGTTAAATTTATCATATTTTCCAAAGAAAATGTAAAAAAAAAATGGTACGGAATTGTCGAGAGCTTAAATAGTTTCCTATAAATATTAGAGACAGTTCTGAATTAAGTTGTATTGGTATCATATTTTTTATATAAACTTTGGTACTTCCTAAATATCCTAAGTACTGGTACCTCGGGTATGGTAAATTAAATTTCTCGTATCAGATAGCTGGAAAGAGAATGGGTAGAAACACACATAAGGATGAAAAATTATAATCAAAGACGATGAAACGTGTAGCAGTACGCCTATCTTGTAAAGAAACCATGGGAATTAATTAATTAATTAATTAATTAAGTTAATCAATGACGATGAGGCATATATCTATGTATTACCCGAGGCGGCGTCGACGAACTCGCCGTTGATGAAGAGCTTGGTGAACTTGATCTCCGGCACCACCAACCCGCCGCCGCCGGCGGCCGCCTTTCCATTGCCGCAGTCGCCGGTGCTCCCCATGGACGACGAATAGGCTCTTGATCTCTAGTTAATTATTTGTCTCTAAGCTTCGAGAGATGCCTATCCTCTACTTGGTCGTCGTCTTGATCTTCTTCTATCTATCTTATAGCTAGCTGGCTGGATGGCTTCCTCTCAACAAGGAGAACAGTAGATCTCTTGGACACAGCAGGGACGACTGGCTTGATCTTTATATAGACGATGACGACCCATCGTCCCAATGCATCCATCGATCGTGCCAGGCTATATTGGCTGTACCTAGGAAAAGCACCTCATTGGTTGGACTTGGCCCAATTCTTCTGTTCAATTTTTTTCTCCATCCATTATATTTTTATATATGTGTGTGTGTTTTTTTTACTTTAACAAGATCTTTGAGATGCTATCAATAATATTTATAAAAATAAGTTGTTTAAATGAAAAGAGTTGCATAGTATGTTAATTTGTTTAATGCTAAGTCGAGTAATATTATCCATATACATGGTTGTTTTTTTTTTGCTATTGATAGCAAAAGTTAAAAATATTTGATTTAGCTTTATTTTTAAAAATGCTTATATTTTAAGATAGAGTGAGCATTTGATGTCTCTCATGGCTGTTACTATCAAACATTAATCAATCATTGTACTTAACATCTATCAGTTTCAGTTTTGTGTTATAAGTAAAATTTTTGTAACTTAAATCAAATTTACATAAAATATGCAAACGTTTACAATATCAAGTTTAACTGAAATCTACTGTGAAACATGTCTTGCATAGTGTATTCATTTGGGAATGTAGATGTTACTTACTTTTTTTTCCCTATATTTTGATTGAAGTTAAAGAACTTTTAATTCAGAAAAAAACTAAATAAATGTTACAATATGGGGAACTTTTTTTAGAACTTACAATATGTAACTGAGGGGGGTATTTTCTAACACTAGCTTCCATGTGCAGATTAGTTAACTATATGGTCAACAGCTTCACCTTAATTCCTGTGCCACCGGCTGCTGCTATTATGTAGTAGTAGTATGTGATGGTTTTCGTTCGCACGTCCAGTTGCATGTACTTTACAAGATAGGCGTACCGCAACATGTACACTATAGACTACTTATCCTCGGTCGACGTGTCTTCTCCTGCTTCATATGTTTCCGCCGGTTGATGCTTTTATATGGACTTTCTTCTAGAGACACCATATTTCTGTTATATCATGCATGAGTGTTGTCTAAGTTTCTATATTTAATTAGTAAACTAACTGGATTTTGCTAAGAAAATTGCATGGACCAAGGTCTAAATTTAGTTGGAAGTAATACTGTATTAATTTGATATATACCTTTGTTTCTATTTCTGTAAATATATACAGCTGTATTTTGCGAGTAATTTTATCACCTTTGAAAAGATAGGGGATATCATATTTTTTTTATATAAAACATGATATTCCTAGGTACTTAATATCTATAGGTACCAAAATTTTTAATTTTAGTGTAAAATTTGTTACCTACATGTACTTTCTATAGGTACTTTCTTAAGTACCTTAAAATTTATTTTGTTTATATGTAGAGTGGTCAACCTAAAATGAACGGTATTAAATTTTTGTCCTTTAATTTGTTCTTGTTAACGTATTAATTTGGTGGATTTTAGGAGTAGTGTACTTTTGGTCTTTTTTTTAACAAATACTATAAACTTACAAATGGTTAGAATATGTCGAATATACTAGTCCTACTAGAAGTTGGATTTGAAGTTAGAATAGGTGTAGGATACAGAGTTAGAATCGGATTCCTGTCATATGTTTTCTTTAAATAGAGGGGAGCACCACAATGTAACCATGTCGACTACAATGTGCGTAGACACGTCATGGACTCATAATGGCTTAGTTGCCATGTTGATTGGGGAGAAGCATCCATAATCAGAGCTCTGGAGATATGGGCTTCGGTTGAACCTCGTTGACAAATATCGTGAGTTCTTGTGTCTTCATGTAATGTGTCTTGGGTGATCAATGACTGAAGTGATTGAGAATGTTAGTCGTTGTTCCGCTATATCAACTAACTTTTATAACAAGTGGTATCAAAGCCAAAGGTTTTAGCATTTTGATCAAGAAGACATGTGAAGGAGGAAACACGAGGTGGGATCATGCATCGGAAGGAGATCATCAATCATGGCAACGAGATAGATGGTGACAACGAGGATGTTGTGGAGGCGAAGCTTGTGATCAAACCAGGGATGGCAGAACGTGATTGGAAGATGAGGCTGGACATGGCCGTAGGTGTTCTGAGATATCGGAGGGGTAGTGCTACGAACGACATGCCTGACGCACGCGGCGATCGCAGATCCGCGACGGCGAGGAGGCTATAGAAGAAGGGCGAAGCTGACGAACGTGATGCGGTGCGGTGGATGTGCAGGGCAGAGGACGATGAGGTCGTGGATGGTGGACACGAGGGCTGCGACTGCGGTACGTGCAGAGGCACAGACTAATGGCATAGGGTGTTGTCCTATGCATATTGCTTGCACAAAGTGATCACCCAGCAAGATGTGTGGTAGAGGTGTGTCATGTGTGCAGACCAGACCGAGCTAGGTCAGAGCTAGAAGGTTAGATTGCAAGCAAGCAATCATACCGTGGGTAATAGGACGTTCGGATCAGGTTGAAAAAAATACCCGGGCAACAGTGGGTTGAATTCGTTGATTCGTTTGGCAGTACAAGATATATCTAAGATATACGGGTCGGCATGATAGGATATATGAAAATATGTGTCATTAAAGAGGAAGAGCAAAGGTTATCGTGATAACTTGTTCAAGTGATTCAAGGCAATATTGAATTTTCTCAAATTATCATGGATTTGGTCTACGGATGCAGAAAACATAGATGTTGGATTTTTTAGCTCGGTTCATAAGATAATAAGAAAGAAATGGTCATGACATCAATTTTATGCATATACAGGCGCCTGGGTATTTGATTTGGATTTGGAAAAGCAAGTGTTCTATAAAATTTATGGTTTTTGGTTGGCTTCTCTTAATCAATCGTTTAAATTAATACCTATGACATGCTTGATAGAAGACATTGTCCTTCTGACAATTCTGATTTAGCATGTGTGCTCTGTTCAACCCATGCAAGAGAAACCACTTTACATATTTTCTTTCAGCGTCCTTTTAGTGCTGATTGCTGGGCTCGGTTTGGTATTGTCTGGGACATCCCTCTCACCTTTGAAGATATGCTAGCTAGCTACATCAAGCAAAGACTTCCTATAGGTCTTCACATTTTGTTGAGAAAGTTCTTTATGCAGCGTGGAACATTTGGAAGCAAAGAAACTCACTAATCTTTAAGAATATACCTCCATTAGTTTCTTATGGGAAAGCTTTCTTTAAGATTGATCTTTCGCTTTTAGTTTTTATATTAAATGTTTCTGAGAGACAAACTCTTTCACAATGGATAAACCTCTTGTAAATATTTTTTTAATTTTTATTAATAATTTTTTTACTGTGGGGGTTTCCCCTACAGTATTTCTCCTCAAAAAAACAAGGAAGAAATGGTTCTCTTCAATAGTCCAATGAGTTTGATTTGTTTATTTAGTGATGACAAGAGCTATCTAGTCATGGATTAGATAAAATCAAATTTAAGACAGAAGATAAAGGTGAACATGGCCTTTGAGGAGTCTAGTATGAGCCGGTTAAGGAGGAGTTCAATTTGAGTTGGCAAGATGACTAAGATGATAGGTGGGAAAATGGAGGACTACTGCAGGCAGAGTCCATATGAAGAAATTACAGGGATAACAAAAGTCTCCTAATTGTTATATTGATTGGGGCCTACTACAAGCTATGGACTCGTAGCGGCTTAGTTGCTATATTGATTTGGGAGGAGCGCGAGCCCCGGAGATGTACGCTTTGGCTGAATCTCGTTAACAAATATCGTGTGTTTCTGTGTCTTTATCTGGTATGTCTTGGATGATCAATGACTGAAGCGATCGAGAAGGTTAGTCGTTGTTTTGCTATATCGACTATTTTTTACATAATAGGGTTAATACAATGAATTAATAAGTTCATTTTACGATCTTCAACTGGTGAAGCGTGGAAATTAAATTTGGACTTTAACCTCGCATGATTCAATCCTCGGAAATTTCAATCCAGATAAAACAATAAAAATTGACTGAGATCTCAAAATTCTGAAATGAGTTTCTTGTAATAACTGGTAAAGTAAACTTCCAGATGGGAAATTCCATATAATTGACCCACAAAACTTAAAAATCTTTCACTGACGTACACAACCTTTTTCCAACTTTGGGAACTTTCACGGAACACACACAAACTTTTCGGTTGGCCTTATGAGACCTTTTTAGTTCTTAAGCCATGAATGTCAAGAGATTCACCTTCCAGAAAGCGCTTATAAAGAAGAAATGGGAGGGGCATTACAATTTGAGCCCTTGGATCAAAGTTCATCAGAGCAAGGTGTTCTTTTCTTCTGAAGATGAAAATTAAGTTTTTTATGCAAAACGAGGTGGTATTAACGTATGGTTGGTTAAGTTTTAATTATTGCAAACTTGAAAAATAGATTAATATGATATTTTAGAGCAACTTTTATATAAAAAGTTTTCGCACGAAACGCACCGTTTAGCAGTTTGAAAAGCGTACCATGAAAATCTTAATATTAATCTAACTCTTGTTGGAGAAAAGAATGGGACAAGCAGTAGACAAGTTTAATTTGATACAAGATGCAACCTGTTGAATGCACCATATATGCACAGCAAGGTTCAAGCATGCATGCGTTGATCTGTTCTGAGAAACCTCCTCTTGTTTTAATTAATTACGTGGACAATACCAACTGGACCACTGGTAATACCACTGGTAATATGAACTCAACACATTCACAAACATATTTTAAAGATTATATTAGGGAATTTCACATTTTCACCTTCTAAATATCAATTAAAGAAATGATAAATCATGGCCACTAAATTTTTCTTGGTAAGTACGTACACGGAAATGCTGGTTAGAGTTCTATAAAAAAATTGTTACTTAAGGTAATACTCTTTTCATTTTTATAATATCTGACGCTGCTAACCTTTTTACATATGTTTGATCAATAAATTTTACACAAACACAGCAAGATATAAGTCATGCATGATTAAAAAACCTTTAATGATAAGTCAAGTCATAATAAAATATAATATAATTATGTTAATTTTTTAAATAAGATGAATAATTAAACGTATTTTATCAGTGGTGTTGTGTATTAAAAAACGTAGGGATTACATCATATAATAAGTTCAAGTTAATCAAGGGCATCATCTGGCATTTTCGCTTATATATATATCTTGTCACAGAGTAACATCCCAAGACAATGATCGACTCAACAATAAGACGGTCTTCAATTCTTTAATTATATTATCTCCATTTGATCGTTTGTTGATCGAATTATATCGCATGCCCTCCTGCTTTGGAATACAAATACTCTACACAATTCGACTAACGTGACTGCCAAAACCGTCAAATTTAATTTAAATTAGCGATCCATAATCGATCCAGACAACACTTGCTTGATGGACAACCCTACAATTAACTAATACATTGGACGAGCCGGGACCCAATCAATTAATAACTTTTGTCTAACTGAGAGCTGGTTGCCTTTAAGCAACGCGATTTGTACATGTCACGCTATATTTGTTATGAAATCATCATGAGAGCTACGCTCTAGGCCTCTAGCTTAAGTTTCGTCTAAATTATCGCGTAATCAGAGGTTGACTTGGGGCATAATTATAGCCCAAAGGATGAAATTAGCTTACCTTGGCACGTCATTATCTCAGCATTTGATAGTACTAATCATTTTAGAGTTAGAAGCACTTTTCTCCTATTACAAATAGTACTTCCCCTAATTGTTTTGGACAAGCATCTAATCAAACCTTTTAAAGTTAGAGTATCAATTTATTTTAATAAATATGTAGATTGAGTATATGAAAATCATACAAGATGCATGCTCTTTGCCTCAAAAAAGTACTTTCATTAAAATTATAATTTAAATGGATTTTATAAACACTTTACAACAAGAATCAGTAGTTCAGTAGTCCCAGAGTCATAGAAATATATTGTTTTGAATGTCTTAAATCAATTTTTTAAAAACTTTAAACATCAATGCTTTCTAAATATTGACACCATATGCATGAAAATCATATACGTAGATTTGTCTTGAAAATTATTTTCATAGTATTATGTGTTTGTCATGTTTTGTAAATAAACAAATTTCACTATAGGACATCCAAAGATTATGGTTTTTGCTATTGGACACTAGTAAAACATGAATTTGGCTGTACACAACATAAAAATATGGTAATTTAATTGCTAGAGGACATCATGCACAACCATTAAACTGTAATATCCACTCAATATGTATGTTGCCCCTTTCGTTCTTCCTCACCACCTTGCCACCTGCTAGGTTTTTGAGAGTGAGAGAGCATAGAGGGGGTAGGGATACAGTCTGGTTAAAACCAAACGTACTTGCCTCGTTCACACGGATGGGAGTGGCATTATAGTCATCTTAAAATATCTCTCTGCTCAAACATGTTAGAAATGGTAAATTAACTGACACGGTGTTCTCCAGCAAGTTATCATGTTTTTAAGGTGTCCTCAAGCCGAGGCTGTTTGGTTGATAGGCATAAGTTGCCACACTTTACCATACTTGAGGTTAGGCAAGTTTGACCATGTTAAATGAGTGTTTGGTTGGCTCCCACAAATGTGACAAGATTCATCTTTTGTAATCTAGGTCCCACATGTAAGTGACTCTAAAAGTGTGGCATGGTTTCATTTTGTTGGTTAGAGTGTGGCTTGGATTTTGATGGCATCACCTTTGACAAGTTTAGCTAAGAAAGTATGGTAAATCTAGGCAATGTTAGTATATGAACCAAACAGCCCCTACGTTTTGATAGTAAAGCCATAATCTTTGAATTTCTTCTAGAAAATTTTGCCTTATAAATATTTGCAATAGAAATTAGTAGTAATCTTGTTTTACAAGGGTAAGCTAGTAGTTAAAGTTGTGTTTTAAAGATATTGTCAAGGTAACGAAATGTTTCCTTGACCGGAGTAAATAGTTAAAGTTGCCATGTTATATTATGTATTGTCGAAATAACATCTAGTTGTGACTGAAGGGACTATATTGATCTGCACTTTCAATTTGTTAGTCCAACTTCCAGCAGACTTTTAATTGGAAAACAACAGATCTCTGGACCACTGTATCGTTGACAATCGATCCAAGGGTGGTCTTCTGTTAATCAGTCACGATCAGAAAAGTAGCCTTTTGGGATGCTATACATATTCCAAGTTTTAAAGGAAATTTGTAATATCTTACTCCAATTTGCAAGTGTCCTCTTGAGTATCATAATCCTAGGTCCTAGCTAGCTTGTTTCTAGCAAATTGCATATGACCAATCAATTTCTTATTTGTCAACGAGGCCGATGCACCTTTATCACCTCAAAAAACAGATTTGTCAAGATTTCATATTACTGCCGAGTAATAGAAAAAGTCAACGCAAAAAAAAGTCAATGTGTCGGTGTCGGTTAGCGTTTGATAGTATACTGTCATTAACCTTTTTCTTATGGGTTTACGTCAGATCATCAGACAAAGAAAAACACACCGAGAAACTGAAATATACTGTCTTTATTCCGACAAATTGATATTTGATACAAGCAATCAACTAACCACAAATATAACCCAACCTTTCAGCTGTATATATAGAAATGTTATTTTTTTCCACTGTAATTAATCTTTCTGTGCTGTTCATCATCAGATCATAGCCAAGGGGTGTTGTAGAGAGGGGTGACCACCGCCTTGGTGTGGAGGTACTTCTCAAGGGCGTCCATGCCCATGTCCTTGCCGAAGCCGCTCATCTTGTACCCCCCGAACGGCACGTCGGGGTCGAAGCCGAGGTAGCAATTGATCCAGATTGCCCCTGCCCGGATCGACCGCGAAACCGTGTTCGCGACGTCGATGTTCTTGGTGACTATGCCGGCAGCCAGGCCGTACCGGGTGCTGTTCGCCTTCTGGATCGCCTCCTCAACCGTCCTGTGCAAAAATGTTCAGGATCCAGTGGTTTCAGGCTTTCAGTTAGATGTTCATGTGATGTTAGTCAGGCTGGAAATGTTCAGAAAAAGATGCCTACTTGAATTTCATGAGGGCCATCACCGGCCCGAAGATTTCCTCTTGCGCGATCGACATTTCTTCCTGCGCAAAAGGGGTCTATTAGTTTTTCGCACGATTTGGAAATGTGCATTTTTGTTCTCTTTGAAAATGCTGCTGGTCATATTTTAGCACTGAGGAGTGAAGAGCACACTGGTCATGTTCATGCCTTGACGTCCGTGAAGATGGTGGGCTCGATGTAGTACCCGTTTTCGCCGCAGGGCTTCCCTCCGGTGACCAACGTCGCGCCTTCGCGCTTACCGATGTCGATGTACTTGAGGATCTTCTCGTATTGCTCCTTGTCAATCTTCGTTGTAATTGCACACAAGTGGTTATTACAGCTTGCTGAACATCTTTGGTTCTCTGAATCTGAAGTTTGTATAGTTGAAAAATCAGAGCATGGTTACTGATCTAGCATATATATATACCTGAGGGCCTTGATGAACTCGCGGGTTGAACGGATCTCCGACCACCGATTTCTTGGCCATCTCGGTCGCCTTCTTCACGAACGCATCGTAGATCCCCTCCTGGACATAGATTCGCGAGCCGGCGACGCAGATCTCACCCTGCAACAGAACAGGATTGTTGTGGAAAGCTGATGAGATTTTCACAATATGTTGTGCTTATGCCAGCTAGATGGTTTTCTGACGACATGGCCGGTGAGAGGCCGACCTTGTTGGTGTAGGAGGCCATGTGGACCAGGTTCACGGCCGTGTCGAGGTCGGCGTCGTCGAACACGATGACCGGAGACTTGCCACCCAGCTCGAGCGAGACGGGCTTCAGGTTGCTCTTCGCCGCCGCCTCCATCACCAGCCGGCCGACCTCCGTCGAGCCGGTGAAGCTCACCTGAAAAGTGAAAACCATCAGGCTTAGACTGTTGTTCTTCTTTAACCGTTTTGTTAAACTTTTATTTGGTATCCTCGTGTAATAGATGGAGTCTTATGTACTCTTGATTGTGGTTTGGGCTGTGTACACCTTCTAAGGTGTAGAGGCCGGGTTAATATAATCCATTATCTAAAAAAAAAGCATAATCAATCGGAATTCAGAAATTCATAATGGCAAGTAGGTAATCTGACCTTGTCAATGTCCATGTGGGAGGAGATAGCGGCGCCGGCGGTGGGGCCGAAGCCGGGGACGACGTTGAGCACGCCGTCGGGGACGCCGGCAAGCTTGGCGAGGTGGGCGTAGAAGAGCGCGGAGAGGGGGGTCTGCTCGGCGGGCTTGACGACCATGGTGCAGCCGGCGGCGAGCGCCGGGCTGGCCTTGAAGAAGAACATGGTGGTGGGGTAGTTCCACGGCACGATGTGGCCGACGACGCCGACGGGCTCCTTGAGCGTGTACCCGTGGCATGGCCGCGCCATCTTGAGCGTCTCGCCGTGCACCTTGTCCGCCGCGCCGGCGTAGTACCGGAGCAGGTTCGCGCCGCCGGGGATGTCGACGAGCTTCCCCATCGCGAACAGCTTGCCGGCGTCCACCGTGTCCAGCGCCGCCAGCTCCTCCACGTGCTGCTCCACCAGGTCCGCGAACTTGTGCAGGATCCTTCCCCTCGCCTGCAGCCATTAATTGGCGCCAAAAATTCAAAGTTAAGCTGGGCTTAATTAGGCCCAATTAGTGCGGTATAACTAGATGGGCCGCCTGGTATTATTAACTAACGGGTTTGGATCCAACCCGTTTACGGGTTTCGGGCGATGGTGGAGAGAGGCGCGCTTACAAAGCCGGACATTCTTGGCCAGGGGCCATGGTCGAAGGCCTCCCTGGCGGCCTTCACGGCGAGGTCGATGTCGGCCTTGTCTCCTTCGGCGATCTTGGCGATGACCTCGCCGGTGCGCGGGTCACGGGTTTCGAATGTCTTGCCTGCAAATAAAGGGAAAAGATCCGTTAACCCGTATGATTGTATAATAGAACATCTTATTGTATTTTAAAAGAGCAAAAATAACTTGTCAACTGATATGGTCGTATATATCGATATATACTATTGTACTTTTAAAGGAAAAAAGTGCTAAAAGTACATATTATGGTAGCCCTATTAAATTAGTATTCTGAACACAAATTGTAAGAATAAATTGTAAAACAAGGGTTTGACTAGAGGGAAAGGGACAATAATATTCAGAGATTCTCACATAGTCGCATGTAGTACACTTGTGAGAACTGAGAAGTAGCCTTACTACCCAAGTGGATAATGTGGATCGATAATAATGCATCTAGCTACTTTATTTATACTTAATTGCACACGTAACAAGCAAGGGAAATAATTTATACTATATACAGGACCCTCATTATTAGTAAATTAATTTATTTATATTCTAGTTGCAATTAAAAACCAAAGCGTTGACGTCTAACTACTGGTTGTCTAGTTTCGAAGAAAATCATTGAAAAAAAAAAGATTACCAAATGTCACATGACAATAACATATCGTAGCTTAAAAAACTAAACTATTTGCACGCTTGCACGATAGCTACCACACATGGCGATTCTGAATCAACTAGCTAGACTGATATTTGCATGTTTCTTAAGATAAATTACCCATCAGGTCTCTGAATCTCTGATCAACAACTTTCAATTGCTTCCACGACACAAACACTTGTAACTAAAAAAAATTATGGAAGAAGACACCGGCATGACAGACACTCTGAAGGAAATATTTTGGACGATCCCCAGTATGAATTCCAGGATTTGATCATGAAACTTGAGAGTTAATTAGGAGCCAAATTATTATTGTTGCAGACGAACCAGAGCCATATAATATTCGGCTACCATAATCAGATTAATTATCTGATCTCCGATGACATACAAGGTGTTTTTTACTGACTTAATTAGTGTTTGAGAGCCAGCAGACCCAGACCTGAAAATTGTTCAGGGACACCTCAATGGGCATTGTCTACAGTACTTCTGGTTTATTAGCAGTCACTGGTTTATTAGCCTGGATGCTTGCTTGTTAATTAATTAATTAATTAGGTTGTCACCATCTCAAGATTACATATATAATCTCTCATATACAGAACCATCCAGGCTAACTAGAGCTTTCTCGGAAGATCAGATAAAATTATCTATTTATCTTTTACATATGTATGTCTTTTTCTTAATGTTAATGGATGGATCAGTTAGCCTCTAGCTTTTTTATGTTAGGTCCAAGTAGATTTTCCACAGCATGACAAATTTGCATTGTTTTTTTCACCATCCACTTGTCTGGTTTGCTCATTATGATGGTGATGAATATAGTCTAATCCCACTTTTTGAATGTCATTATCAATTTAATGGGGTGTATAATTGATGCTTACTTAGTGACAAGATGTCAAAGTGGAAGGGCGACATGTCATACATTTTTCTTATTGCTAATTAATTAACACGTGAACTTTTTTACATTTGAGCCTATTACTCTAGAGATATCATAATATTGTGTACACGTATGTCTTGCGAGATAAAAATAAATACTAATAAAGACATTGAATTTCAAAGCACTTTCAACCTACTACATACTAGTACTTCATCCTTTAGTAGTACGAACTAGTCTAATCGCGCTGGGATGAACAGCTCTTTTCGAACGAAAGAATTTTGTACGCTTTTCGTAGAAGTTAATTTAATTTACGCAACATTTCTTTAAAATTTCTCCATTTCAAAGTAGGCCTATGTTTTAAATTCCTTGCAAAATATTACCAGGCAATGAATTCTGCTCAAAAACATCCTATTCATCATTTATATATCCAAATCAGTACTTGGCTAGCACGAAAAATAATATTATTATGGAGGATGGATGGTCAATGTCGAAGTACCCAAATATGAGAAATATGTGATCAGATATATATGTACTTAATTTGTACTCCTATAATTTATATTCAGAAAAAAGCAACACGTAATTGAGTGTTGAGCCCAATCAGAGCACAATAATGCATTGAAATATTTGCAGGCGTCGTCCCCTAGCTTAGCACAACAATGCAATTTTCCTTTTTTTAAGAAAAAAGCTAGCACAACAATGCCAGTTTTATTGGCGTCTGCATAAGCGACGTTGCAAGCTAGTGTTATCTGCCATAGTGATAGTGGCATGCTTGGACTTATTGGGTCGGACGGCCCGGCCGTGTCTAATTTATTGAAAAGAAAAGAAAAGAAAGAAAATGTACGGATGCTTTATGAAAAATAAACCTAATTAAGCCCCTGAAAACGCTAGATACCGAACAGCTCAGTCTCAACAGTCAACAGGATTCATCACTCGTGTGTGTGTATATATATGTGCACTGATCGTTGCACATACATTGAACTTAGACATTGCCTGGTATAACTGTCCCGTAAAATAGGATAAGACCCTTGTAAATCAACGGCTCATATTGCTTCTACTACGACCAATAGAGACCAGAAAATAATCCACCCATTCTCAAATAATTTACGCTGCCACTATATAATTTTAAACTTTTGACCGCTCGTCCTTTTACAGAAATTTAATAAACACTTGAAAATATACTTCATAAATTCATAATATAATTATTTAAAAGTAATTTGTAATCAAAGTGAGACCTCTATAGTTAACCGTGTCAGTTATTCGAGAACGGAGGGAGAGTACTTAGTTCTAACTAAAGCTGCGTGCTGTCAACTCTTGACCTGACTAAAACCGTAGTATGTTACTGTCAAAATTACCGCGTTTTCCATGTGTCCCACTACCCTGCCTTTTCTCCCGGACACTGATGCGCCACATGATATAGCTCTAGTGATGCATATTACTCCATGGTACCATGTGGCATTTTGCAATGCTGCCACACAGTTCATCATATTACTATCATATTCATATGGATACATCTCGCCATCTGTGTGGATCTGCCTGTCCTTCTCAAGCTCTCTCCCACCCTTCGTTTTCTTCCCACAGTGCCAATGCCTGTCTCGCAACGCTCCATAGGCTCACCGCCACTAGCTAATTAAGCTATAGCTTGGACACACGCATCATTCCCAGGAAAAAAAAAGAATTGATTTCATCTAAAATTTAATACAAAGCTACAGGCAGTGACGCCTGGAAATTCTGGCCGAGTTTAGTTCCAAACTTTTTCTTCAAACTTTTAACTTTTTCATCACATCAAAACTTTCCTACATACACAAACTTTCAAATTTTTCGTCACATCGTTTCAATTTAAACAAAACTTCTAATTTTAGCGTGAACTAAACACACCCTCTGTTGTTAATTTCCTAACTTCAGTTCAGCCCCCCCTCCCCCGCGCATAGCTTTCGTGTCGGGCGGCTCGGGGGCGCAAAAACCCTAGCCACCCGCGCCTTCTCTCCCTCCCTCCCCCTACCTCGCCGCCGCTGGAGCCCGCCGGCGGCGAAGCCGGTAGCAGGCAGGGAAGGCGGCGGCGAGGCCTTCTTCTCTTCGTAGCGTCTCCCTTCTCTGCGCGAAGGACGAAGAGTCGAAGACGACGAAGCTCCCCGCCGGCGTGGTCCATGGCAGCTACGGCGGCGAGGAGGGGAGGAGGCGGCGGATCCGGAGCCCCCATGGCCGGATCCGGCCCTCCCTCGCCTGGATCTGCGCGGCGGCGGCGCGAGGAGGCCTGGGGCGGCGCGACGACATGCGGTCGTGGTGGCGGCCGGCGGCAAGGCGGCGAGGCGGCGGCCGGCTGCGGCTAGGCCGGCCCGGCACGGGCGCGGAGGCGGCGGACGACTGCGGCTCGACGTGGAGGCGGCTCGTCAGCGGCAGGCGCGGGCGGCGGATGGCCGCGGCTCGTCGTGGCCGGCCGGGTCGCGGAGGCGGCGGGCAGCGCAGCCTGCCCGGAGCGGCAGGGGCACCCCCGCTCACTCGCTCGGCCTGGTCGCCCGGCGCCAGCCCATGGCGCGGTGGGTCGTCCAGGCCTCGGTGGCGGCTCGGCGTGGGGGCCAGGCAGCCGGGATGCCGTCGCGGTGGCTAGGGGAGGAGCGACGGCTGGACTTCGGGGGCGCCGGCGGGTGGTGCCGGTCTGGAGCAGCAGCACCACCGGCGGCCAGATGGCAGAGCAAAGGGAGTTGGCGGTGGTGGGTCGTCTTCCTCGTTGCCGGTCGGCACCCTCAGCCTTCATGGAGCTCCTCCCCTTCTTTGCGGGGAGTTTCTAGGTTGGATTGAGGCGGCAGCTCGTCAGTGGGGGAAGCTCAGGCTGCCGAAGCAATGCCACCTAGTCCCGGGTTCTCCTTCGGCCAAATCTGGCGAGGCGGCCGGCGGGTGGTGGAACGGAGGAGTCCTGGGCCAGCTTTCAGGGGTGGTGGTTCGTTGAAGTCGACCGACGGAGGGGCATCGGTGCGGTATGGTGGATGCCACGTGCTGCCATTTGTCTGTGTGGTGGTTCTGAGTTGGTGGATGGCGATCTGCAGTCAAGGTTGTAGGGTCCCAGGCGAAAGCCTAGTCCGGTGGTTCACCGGACCGGCAGCGGCTACGTCTTCGGACGTCGTAATCTCCTTGGAGCGTTGTCGAGGGTTACCCTCCCCCTTTCTTGGCGAGCTTCTCTGGGTGAAAACCAGATCTTTTTAGATGGGCGATGGCGGCATCCTAGATGTCGTGACCACCATGGTGGCATCGTTTTCGGAGCCTCGTCTCTGTGGTGTTGCCGTAGGCCTAGCGGGGGTCGTTTGGTGCTAGGTTTCACCCTCAGCGGTTTGTGCTTGGGTGGTAGCGTGTGGTGTGTGGCAATGCACCTTGGTGTATTTTGATGTTTTTTCTCTTGTAACTTTTATTCCTTCTTAATATACTCGGTTGGCCTCCTTCGGCCTTCCCGGCGAAAAAAAAAATAACTTCAGTTCAGAGTTTCACACGGAGTCGACACTCTGTTTTTCTTTTCCCCCCTTCTTCAGGCTCTACAGTTTCAGATTTTCAGTCTTTCACACGCAATATGCAGCTGTAGTGTTCTCGCTCTCTTGGAAGTACATCCACTTTCAGCTCTCCATGACGTGTGTTTCTCTCGAGCAATATCTTCTTGAAAGTGAGATGTTTGGGGGGGGGGGGGGGGGTTGATGACGTGTTCTATACGTACCCATCCGCTCAAGATCTTTGGTGATGAGATGTATGTAGAAATGTGTGTGGTGTGTTTGATCATCTTCTTGCGTTTGTTTAAAAAAGCTAGATCTTGGTCAAAAAGAGGCTTCCATAATTTCTGCTGTTTTGATCAGTGATGGATCTTTCAAAACGAAAAAAATATAGAGTGATGGCATGGCACAACTTCTGTTTGGAAGTACCTAACATGTAAGCAGGTTTAGCTCTTGTTTCTCACAACCACACAATCAAACAACCAATATCAGTTAATTTTTTTGATATATCCCAAAGATGCCCGTGTCCAAAGTTGTCTTCAGCATTGGCACAATCCTGGAATATTTGACTTGATCCCTAGCTAAGCCCCATAACTAGCAAGTTGTCCAGTAGTAGTAATTAATATATTAGGCCTCATTTGATTTACCTCCACATGGAACAGGGTGGACCATGCAACATGCATTTAAATATGCATATTTGGTAGTAATATTTTAAGCCTCTTTTGGAATAGAGGTTTTTTTTTAATGAACTTTACAGGAATTATACCTATTTATTCGAAAATTCGGTGAAACTCATGCATTCATTCAGTAAACAAATTCTCCGAAGCAATGCTTAAATCTAGATACCATACTACCATTGTCTCATCCTCACATTCGGTTTCTTCTATCTTTTTTACACGATAAATCACCCTCACTTGCGTACTATGACGTCCCGCACTTCTTAACACGCTATAGATACTACTCGGCTATCACATTTATCTAACTTGGTGTTAAAAGCGCAGGGTGTCGCACGTATTGTGACTAATCAATACTCTATATCCGTCTCTGTTTTCGTTTTGATTTTTTTTCTAATCAAACTTTTGAGTTTGTTCAGGTTTATTAAAAATATTAGCAACGTTTACAACGCTAAATTAGTTTCATCTAAACCAATATTTAATATATTTTAATATTGCGTTTGTTTTGTGTTCTAAATGTTGCTATTTCTTTAAAAAAATTGTTAAACTTAAAGAAGTTTATGTTAATTTCTAATACGAAACGGAGATAGTAAAAAAAGAAAGTTGCAAACAATAAAGAAACAGAAGTACTAACAGATGCTTCTTGTTGCTAACTTTCGTGAGTCAAAAAAAGCATCAGGAGAAGAATAATAATTAAAAAAAAGGTGAAAGATGCAAGAGGGAGGATTAATTAGGAAGCACGCAGCGACGTACCGGAGACGGCGTCGACGAAGCGGCCATTGATGAAGAGCTTGGTGAACTTGATCTCCAGCTTCGGCACCTCGAACCCCTTGCTGTCGCCGCCGTTCGCCGCCGCCATCGCCGCGAGCAGAGGAGAAATAAAAGAAACACAGAGAGATGTGGAGAGAGAAATTGGAAGTTTGGAGATGTGGAGGGGAGTTTAGAGATGATGCGCCCTTTTTTAAAGGGAGGGATGGGAAACCCCAAGGCGAGACGGCTTGATTTGATTTAATCCTTGTCGCACGTCGCGAGGATAGCGGCTTCTCCTCGCACGCTCGTCCTTATAAACATACACACATCTTATCCGGCTATCACTATAAACACCTATAAAAGATTAGACCGGCGTATTTTTGATTGATGAAGCCACCACGAGTATCTCCTTATCGACGAGTATATTATCTATCACTAAAAGAATATTTTATCGTCGTGTTAAATTTAGCATTTTAAATATTGGATTGATTAGTTTCACTGTAAGAAACCTAGCCAGTTAAGCTTTAATCATACCTATTGTATTGATTTATTTTAATTGGCATAGTAATAAACATTTATTGTTTCCCTCTTATCACTGTATGGCCTGGGTCCCTGGGACTCGGGTGATCTCTGTATGGCCTGGATCCTGGGACATGGGTGATGTGGTGGGCGCCGATCCTCTGTACTCTGTAGTGGTGAGTGGTGGCAGTGGCTGATCTACTGCAGGCTGCAGTACCGTAGACAATCTATATCGGTTGTGGTGGTGGCTAATTCCTCAAAGAAGGGGATTGGTTGAGCTGCAATTATAATCCGTAGTTTAATTGGGTAAAATTAGCAGTAATAAGATTAAATCTCAACATTTAGTGCCCGTTCTAAACTACAATTTGAATTGGTTGATTCCTTGATTTTCATTAGCACATTTTTTAAACGTTAAATGATACATTTCGTGTAGATGTTGATTTTAAAAATCAGATAAATCTATTTTTAATATTTTTTTTAATAATTAATATTTAATTAATCATATGTAAATTGCGTTTGTGCGGGTAATCATCCTAAGCCAACTAAAAAACTTATAAAGCTACGGCTGATAATAAAGCAAGACGAAAGACAGAACCGACTCTTGTAGGTTATTATTTCGCTTACGCTGATTATAAGCCGTACTGTTTTATCAGTCCAAAACATAGTTTGCGAATAAAAGTTACTGGCGATTTAAAAGCAAACTGCGATGAAAAAAACTTAAAAATTAGAAGTTTAATTGAAATTGGAACGATGTGACGGAAAAGTTAAAAGTTTATGTGTATAAGTAAGTTTTAATGTGATGAAAAAGTTAAAAATTTAAAGAAAATATTGGAAACTAAACCAGGCCTAAGTCTTAAAATTTAAATTTTGGCAAACGAATCATAAGGTGATCGTAAACAGAGAGTGGCCTGCCAAGCTGGGCAGTGTTGCGCCTCGTCGGTTTCTGATGTACCGGGCGGCCACGTCAGGAGAAAGGACGAGTCCTGCCGCGGACACTGACGGGCCACGTTGAGGGCGACGGACACGACGCAGCCACCCACAAAGCCTGGACTCTCGATATGGCATGGCATGGCGTGGAGGTGTCCTCTCATCGACTTGTGTTTCTCATCGACTTGGCACGAAGTCCTTGTTCGCTTTCGCTACCCAGCATCCAGGTGCTTGCCCCCAGCAGCGCCGGGCGATGCCACGGCTCGCCGGCGGCGGCGTCCGTGTCCGTGTCCCACGTTGCAGTGCAGGCAAGCTGGCATGGCACGGCGCGGCGTCGTGTGCGTGCCCTGACCAGACCATCACAAGTCGCTGCAGACGCTGCAGTTGCAGCAGCGGGCCGAGGTGGGAACACCGACCGAACACCGGGCCAAAGGAGTGCGACGTGACACCGTGAAGGAAAAAAGGGGGTAGGGGTTGTTCCACATGTGACAAAAAGGGCACTGGCCCAGCAACACATGTGTCACCAGACACCAGCAGCAGTCGAGACTCGAGAGGACAGATTTCCAAATCGCCACCAGATCGGCTTTCGCTTTGGATTTGGATTTGGCTTCCAAAGCCAAAAGATGGAAAAAGAAAAAAGAGTTATCGACCATTGCAACAAATATTCTCACGGTATGCAGTTTCTTTGTCGAATCAAAATTCCTCTCGCTCTCTGCATTTTGAAGATTCAAATCTGTAACAGTGTATGCACAACATTTTTCAGGAAGTCATGGCAAGTTGCAAACAGGACAAACAGGCGCCAAGTGCCAACCCTACTATGTACTTTGTCAGGCTTTCAACGGAACTTCAGGATACAGAGATGTTTAAGTAACATGAACACCCCAGCAAGGATACATCATACAAGCATTTGGAAGGGGCATATATGGCCTGCTTTGGTCATTGTTGTGTCACTGCGACATGAGTCGCAATGCAATTCCTCATGTATCACACAACTCACAATGCACAAGTTCCATCTGCTACATCAACCTTCCCTAGATTCAATGCTATTGTACATTACATCGGGTGAACGTAACAGTTATGCCGTGTCACCACCACAAGCATTATAGCTCAGCTTACAGAAGATTTATGGTACAGATGAGCTGAAGGCATTCTGCTTTATATGGGAATGTCCTTGCGCCTGCTTTCTCCAGGCTTGGGTTCTTCACGTACATATTGGGAGGGGTAGAGTCAGCATGATCATGTACTCATGTTGTATTTCTGAAAAATGGATGGTCTAGAGCTTCTTGGGCAGTAAGACGCTCTGATGGCTCAAATTTTAAAAGCCCATATAACAAGTCTGCCAGCACCGCCCTTGAATGATCAGCCTTCCTCGCCACTAAGTCCTGAAGTTTCAGTCCATAATGTTTGAGGTGTGTAAGTTGAATCTTCTTCAGAACAGATATTTCAGAATATGTTTCTAATACTTTCTCATTTCCTCTTAGTGGAAATTTGAAGGAATAATTTTACTAACCAGCAGAATAATACTCTGAATTTACCACACAAACAGCATAGTAAATCACTAAATGAAACAGATACTACACTACAAGAGGACCAGTTCACCAAAGAAAATGGAACTTTATTTTTTCTATCTGCACCCTGACAAAACTGAAATAAGCTTTATATCAAACATTTACAAACATAATATGCCTTCATTCAGACAAATCATTAACTATAGATGCATAGTTACATTAAAAAAAAACAGCTTCTGCTTCTACTCTTGATTTGTATGTTTCTATGCATGGTATTTCTTTTACTTGTAGCAGACAGGAGATAGACTGAAGAACAGGAATATGCATAATATTGTTTTGAATTTTAGAGATATAATTTAGATTGGGGATAAACGTAGCAAAAAAAAAGAGACATAATTGAGGGAACCAAAACCTTTAGCCGATCTAGTTTTTTGACTGCTCTGATACTCTCTCTTGAAACAGCACCTTCAGGCCAATTTAGACGCGCTCCTCGTCTAAAATATTTCTGAGCTGATGAACTGCATATTCCAGTTGACATACACGATGCAAATATGGAAAATCAGTATAAAATGAAGAAGATTGATCATTGCAAGACAGTAAATGGTAGCATACCATAGCCAAAGTTAACATGACAGCCACATGACGTACTCAGAAACAGCATTCGCATGAGTTGCATCTATTATTATTACTTTATATGAGAACTATGGATAAATCAATCAAAAGAAATATAAGACTCGAGTATTAGTGAGTTGGAGTAACTATAAACTGTTAAAAAAAACCCTGGATTTAAGGTTGGGTCTACACATGAACAAACTGTTGTTAAATTACAAGCTAGTATAAGAAAACGGACATATTGAGGGGTTCAACTTGGCAGAATAGCATACCACTAACAAGTCAAGTTCTATAGAAAGGAAAACCCAAAAAATATTTTTAAAAAGTGATACAATTAAAATTTTCCTTGTCAAATGCCAAATTAAACAGTAAAACATAGATTCGTTTACTACTTGCTATATTGAGGACAACACAGAAAAAGGTAAAAGAAAATGATCATCAAAGTAGTGTGCACACTGCCACAATGTACCTGGCTTTCCTTATCATGTGTTCTGGGAGTGGACCCAAAACCCTCTCCATCATTGCTAAGTGCTCAAGGTTCTCATGTGTTTGAAACAATGCTTCCCCCTAAAGGTTTTTTATGGTTAGGAACATAGGCTAAGGTAAAAGAAAGGAAAAATATGCATGACAAGATATCAAACCGAGCATAGCTCAACAATGATGCATCCGACACTCCAAAGGTCACAAGGGAAACTCCACCCTAAGCCTGTCATAGGAACATATTCAAGAATATCAGAATTATCTAGGGAGGAATATATGCTCCATCTCTAAAAATACCAAGTTAATAAAAACATTCTTCTCAGTCAAATGCCTACCACTTTACTATAAAGCATAATCAGATAGTACACTGAAAAAAATGACGAATAAGTAGACCAAGTGCTATTTCTTCTGCCAATACTAACATGATTATAGTGATGGCAAGAAGTTTTCATTGTTTTAATGAGTTCTGTCATTTCGAATCACTAAAAATAAGAGTTCTAACAGCATTATCAATTATTGCATCCAAGGATTTTGAATTGCACCTTTGTTGTGCTCCATTGGAGCATACTCGAGGCCACATTAACCTTCATCACAAGGATATTCCAAACTCAAGCAAGATAAAATAAAAGCAAACCTTAAAAGATAACCAATTTACCTAAGATTATTTCAGGTGCTCTGTAATGCCTTGTAGAAACAATCGAGCTATGTTCCTGATTATCAAAGGCGGTACTACCAAAATCTATCAGCTTTATGGCACTGGACTTTGGTAAGCACTTGAAATGCATCTCATCTTGTGAATTCTTCTGTACAACCCCAAGGGATCATTCAACATAACTGCTAATACCGCATGCCTAGTTTCAGAATAGCAGATGATCACTACAAAACTGATTGACATTACCTTGGAACCTGGAACCCTTATATACTCCGAAGACACAAGGAGTATGTTTTCTGGCTTCAGATCAGTGTGAATAAGGCGTAATTCATGCATATCTATTTTAGAAGAAAGAAAGGAAAAGATGGTCAAGCATGCTCCTTTTCAGCAACAGAAGAATGAATCAGCAGCTACCGAATTTGTTAAGAATTGATATGCAGAATCAAACAATCACACACATGCTACAGATTCCAACAGTTGCCGTCCAAACTCCCGCACAAGTTCCACAGGGAAAGGTTGGTATCTATTTCTCTTTAGAAAATCATACAAGCTTGGCCCAAGCTTCTCAAAAACCTGACAAAACCATCGATATCCATTGAAGAAAAATTATCTTTGATTTGTTTCCATATCGGCAAACCTTTATGAGCAAAGAACGACAACTGTTTTATAAGCATGGAAATCCTATTCAAGCACATTACCATATCGTACATAGCAGCATGTTTCACTGCCTACGAGCAAAAAGGTGAATATTCGGAGGGCCAGCAAAGTAAATTGCCAACAAACAAAACTTTGAACTAACAGGGAAAAGTGGAATATGGAATATTGGAACTGTAAATGCGCATATCAACAACTGACATTTGGTATAGATTTTTAGAACTAGCATAAATGAATGAAATTGAGACTTACAATGCATATATGATTGCGATAGTCAAACCATCCTTGAATCTGGACACAGCTGGCCAGTAAGGAAGACTGATCAGGAGAGAAACAGAAAAGACTAAGATTTTTGGGATCAAATATTTTGAGGTACTCACAGTGATCTGTATCTCTCATTTTCTGCAAGGCGGTTGAGCACATCGATCTCAATCATTGCAGCATCCCTGTACTTGCGGATGCTACGAACAACTTTTATTGCGACATATTCATGTGTTTCACGGTCCCAGCATTCCAAAACACGCCCAAAAGTACCTATTAAAAATTTAAAATGATTCCTGTTGCTTTACATTACAATAATAGCAAAGACACCAGGTACTAGGGAACAGATTGCAGAAAATCCAACCTTCTCCCATTTTGCTCAAGATTTTGTCTGCATAGCCAAGAAGAGAAGAATATCAACGAACAATCTCACAGAACCTAAATAGCTATAAAGCCCTACGGTTATTGCAATTTCAACTAAAATTAGCATCAATAAATGCTGGGAACAAAAGCAAGGAACAAGGGCATATATAGTTTATTAACATAACAGAAAGTTGCTAATCCAAACGGGAACCTTGTTTCATTCACCTCCCTTGGTTTTAGAACACAGATACAATATTATACTGTATTACACTAGGTAATCAATGTCCAAATCACTCATGCGATTATTGCAATGAACTTTCGCAGTAGAATTCTACAGCACCACATAAAACTGAACAAAACTACTGCAGTTTCCAAGCAGGCAGGATCTAAGAACACACAAATCTCCTTTCAGCCAACCAAGAGACAGGAACGGGGTGGCGCTCACATCGTCGGTTCAAGTTCTCGCCGAGGTCGAACACGTAGTGCCCGTCGCGGTCGTCGTCCCTCCACGGCGGCGACGCGCCGCCCCTCGCCACCTGCAAGCACCACAACGTCAGCACAGGAGCCCCCATGAACCCTAGGAACCCGACCACCCCCATCGAGCAAAGCAGACAGAGGGATGAACGGACGGACGTACCACCGCCCGCTCCGCCGGCGGCGGCGGCGCGCCGGCGCCGTCCCAGTCCTGGCGGGCCCGCTTCCGCGACCGCGACGACTCCATGGATTCCGATTCGATTGGAGAGAGAGGAGAGAGAGAGAGAGGAGAGAGAGAGAGAGAGAGAAACCCTAGGCAGAAAGGAAGCGGGGGGGAGGTGAGTGAGACGATGGGGTCCCCGCGGGCCAAGCGGGCCGGGGCCCATGTGTCAGCAGCTAAGTGGGCCTTGGGCTTTAGTGGGCTTTCAACTCCGCGCCATTTCTCGCATCGACCGGAGATGGCAAAATTGGTTCTATGGCATCGAAAGTTCTCGATTTTGATTCTATAGCATTAAAAGTTTATGATTCACTTTAATAGCACTGAAAACTACATCCATTACTATTTTTAGCATTCCGTCAGCAGTTCCGTCGGCTCACCCCATCCTACCTCTATCTTCTTCCTCCTGCGCTCTCCCTCCTATGGTTGACCACTCTTCAAGGCATCAGGCGAGCTCGACCATGACAGTATAGCGCTGAGCGAGTTGGAGCCTTGGATGGTGGCAGCTGGTTCTGGCATGCTAGAGGCGGCGGCTCTTGGGTCGGTAGACAACGGATCCAGGGCAAGGAGGAGTGGGTCGGCACTCAGGAGAGCCCGCAACGAGCGCGAGGGTGGTGCTTCGGGGCGAATTTGAGGGCCGATGGATGAGCTCGATCGAGGGCAGCATGTCGGAGAGAGCTCAAGGGCGCCGACAATAATCTGGAGGGCTTTGCTTCCGTGCGGTCCCGACAATGCCGGCGACGAGCTGGACAATGACACTTCGGGCGTTCATGGATTGGATGAGCTTGAGGATGACGCATCTAGGGGAGACCGAGGGCAGTGCACACGGACGAACTCGGAAGCGGCACGGCCGCGGAGGAAATGGACCTGGTTGAGCACGCAAGATTTGAACAAGCTCTAGCATGGCCATGGCGGCGCGGCAGACGAGATCGATCGACGATGGCGCTGTCCGGGCAAAGCTAGAATGTGGATAGATCACACCTAGCAAGCGCGGATGAACACAGCGGCTTGCGGATGAGCTCGTGAGGGCTCAAGTATTACATGACGAGCTCGTGGAGCCAGCATACTGCGTTCGCACCATGGCTGACCGGCCTGAGCTCCTGTATGACTGCTGTTTCGAGATGAGAAGGAAGTGGAAGAGGGCCACCATTGGTGTTTGATCTAATTTTTTGTTGAAAAATAATAATAAGAAAAGAAAACTAACTGGAGTTTGGATGGAATGCTAAACAGAAGTAACGGAGGTAACTTCAGGTGCTATCAAAATGAGCCTTGAACTTTTGATGCTATAAAACCAAAATCGACAACTTCCGATGCTCTAGAACTAATTTTGTCTTTTTTGTCCCCTATATTTTGGTCACCCGCCGCCGGCGCCGCCGCGCCGTCTTTCGACGGCTGCCCTCGCTGGCGATTGCGGCGGCGGCGGCGCGCCGGTCGATCGAGGGAAGCAGTGGCGGCGTCGCGTGGGGGCGTGGCTGATGGCATCTTGGGAGGATGAACCTAGCGGTGGATCTCGGGAACCCTCCGAGCCCAGCGGCTGCACGGATCTGATCATGCCGCCGTTGCGGCCTAAATCCCCGCCGGAATTACTAGACCGGCTGCTTCTCCACGACGAGGAGGAGGAGGAGACGACAAGCTATGTTGCCTCCGCTCACCCAGCGCCCATAGAATATGGTACGTACGTACGTACACTTTGGCATCTCCATATACGTACTAGTATACTCTTTCCATTCTAAAATATAAAAACTTAGGATTGAATGAAATATTTCCTAGTGCGATTTATCTGGACACTTATTCAATTTTAGGTTCTTATATTTTTAGGACGGATGAAGTATATGTTTCTTTCTCTGAATTCTTTTGCACCACAACTTGTGCATGTATGCATATGCAGGTTCAGACGACGACGCCGGTTTAACCAGGTTTGTCGATGACATGTATAGCTGCGTGGAACTGGATGATGTGGTAGACAAGGAGACGGTTTGCCCAGGTAAAAATACAACATTTACTATGGGAAAGTCTTTTTGTCTCGGAAATTTTAACTATTAATTTTGCCACTATAAGAAACAGCCACTATTCAAATGCGACTTTCAAGATTGTCCTAAAAATTTTCCCACTCGATCAATCGTGAGAGAAATATCGTTAATATTTTGCCTTTTTTTTTTGCCTACGTACAATGTTATCTGATCGCTAATCGATCCTGATCGCCAAGGGATCGACCAGGATGAGTAATCGTCGATCAGCCTCGATTAATTGACCTGATCGGTACTATGTATACCAGAACCTAAATAGTATAATGGATGGTATAAAGCAATCAGTGCTTATAATTGATGGCAGAATGATCACTTACTTGCCCTAGTACGTATAAAGCAACCAACAGTTGTAGCACACATTCAGATGTGCTCAACCCTAAGACTTGTTCTGAAAGTGATCGATAGGTGCTCGATCTGATCGCACCTGACTGACGATTAATCAAATGATCAGATTTCTGATCAAGCTGATCGAATGAATGTCCCTAATCGGAGTCAGGGGACTGATCAGGATGATTAATCGTATGATCAGATAACACTTACTTACATGGCATGACACATAGGCATATCAGCATGGACAAGTGACGTGAAATGTCCATTCTACACTTAGCCGTCCTCTTTGTGTTCCCCGTTGATCCATTTCAGACTTTCCTATTTAATGTTGGCCTGGAATCAATTAAAAAGATCAACAACCATATTCATTTCTTGCATTGCATGCAACGAGTTGAGGTGAATCCATCCTCCTCGGTACTAATTTGGGCCATGAAATAGATACAGGTTTATGAAATCAAGGAAAAGGGAGTTAAAACAGGGAGATGAAGAGTGTCAAAGCGAAGATGTTTCATGTCGATTACAACAAACATTTATCAAGAAACATAACAGAATAACCATGAATTTTCTCTCCTTCTTAAACTTTCCCGAATCTAACCTAAATAACAAAAAAAAAAAAAGCAGCGAAGTAACCAAAATTGGGAAAAAGTGGCAAACAGAGAGTGGTGGTTTAGAAGAGTGGCAAATAGTTAAATATCTCTTTTGTCTAAGATGTCTTATTGTTTTAATTTTTGAATGTCAACCAAAAAGTTTTTTCTTAACAAAATTAACAATATCGATCAATATGTGATATATTGCTACATAAGCTTGCATGTTTAAATTTAATCAACACAAGTAAAAGAACAAAGTAAACTCTAGATAGTACGTTACTATTTACAATCATGTTTATTCTTTTTTACAATTTGTATAGGTCAAACTGAAACTTGTATGTTTGTTAAGCGATATGTCACACATTAATCTATGTTCTATTTTTTTATATATTTTTATAACTATTTAGATGGTATATTAGAAAAAGGGGAGGGGGGGTTGAACTTAAGAGAAAAAAACCATCTCCCATTACAGTTATGTTAATCCAAACAGGAGCTACAAATTCATACATGCAAATACATACGGTTGATACCTTTTTTAACTTAATTAACTCTTCAGGTCAGAAGTACACTAGGGACCAAGAAAAGGAAAGAGTGAATTTCAGAAAACCCCATGTTTTGGGGGCCAATGTAACACATAACTACATGTTCTATTTATTTTCTCACATAACCTAGTGCATTCTATCCAATTAACACAATACCACATGTTTAAGTGTGGGAAAGTGCCACAATGGCAAGTGACCTGGCAGACCTGCTCCACATCAGCTGGCCCCACCTGCCAGATCAATGCGTGGGCTATTTAGGGCGGGGAAGCACCCATCCTCTGTTCCCGCGCACGTGACGACGCACCCCTCATCTTCCTCGTGCTCGCTGCGGCAGTGTTCCTCCTCTTTCAAGTTCAGAGGGGCAGCTCGTCATGCACATGCAAAGGCAAGCATCGCCTGTTCTGTTTTGCATCAACTGATCAAACTGTACACATACTTCCTATCTTCTAATACAAAGCTTGTGTGTGTTTGATTAAACATGGCCAGGACCTGACAATGTTTCTGCTCGAATTTTTTGTAAGTAGGTCGATCACCAAGGTGCCTGACACTGTGTTCCTATGAAAAAAAATGAAAGGAAAAAACTGACAATTTCTATGCATTAAGCAGAACAATGGAGCAAGCGTTATAAAAACATCCCATGTCTGAATAAAAGCACCATAGCAACAGTTAATATGTGACCCATTCAGGTCCAGGGCATAGGAAATTTGCAAAACGAATCCATATCTGAAATATATACATTGTGAAGCAGAGAAAAATACAACCTATTTGCCGAGAAAAAAAAAAGAGGAAGCCATGTCTGCTCTTTTGTGAAGCAGAAAAAATTGTTGCAGGCCTTTAAATGTTAATTGTGGTTAGTTTTATATCTGACTGCAATATAATAGTTGTAATACAATAGTCTTAGACATGGTTCAATCTACATGCTTTTTTTATTTTAAAAATTATAGTCCAATGATAAAAAGCAATTTTGCAATGACAAACAGAAGAACGATTGCATAGTTGTAATGCCCTAACAATAATGGGTTCCTCTAAATTACATTTTACTAGCCCTAATTTTTTGACAAGCCAAACATGATCAAATGGCTGGATTTAATTCCTCGTCAAAGAACCATGAAGCAGAGTGTCCTTGCAAATCACCAACCAGCATGCTTTGGAGTCAATTCATATGATCATCACAAGAAAAGGGATGAACGTTACCTGCTAGGAATGGTACCCAACAAGTTCTCTTCCTCTACTCTTCCTCCAGCTAGGTCAACATCACGATCATCACCGGAGGCCATCATGCAAGAGATGGTTGGGGAACGTCGCCGCCGCCTGCGTGCGCAAGAAAGACGGGAGGCACCGCGTCGTGTGCGTGGGAACAGGAAACGCGCGCTTCTATTCTCCCGCGTGATCCTACCTAATAGGCCACGTATTGACCTGGCAGGTGGGGCCAGCTGATGTGGAGCAGGTTTGCCATGTCACTTGCCCTTGTGGCACTTTCTCTCACTTAAACCTGTGATATTATGTTAATTGGATTGAATGCACGGGGTTATGTGAGAAAATAAACAAAACCTGTGGTTATGTGTTACATTAGCCTCAAAACATAGGGTTTTCTGAAATTCACTCCAAAGGAAATAAGTCGCAAGTGGCTAGCAACATACATCAGGAGGAATGCAGAACACACGGAGGCATATAAAGAGTTTGTAGCGTCGGGATATGATTATGCTCAACTTCTACGATATCCTTTGAGGCTGTTTCCCAAGACATCATATCACTGCATCAAAAAAAGCATTTACTGTGATCATCACGAATACCTGACCTTCACTACTTCTGAGAGTAAGTGTTGGTCAATTATATTCCAACTGTTTAGAGGATTCATTGATAATTATTTGATCAATTTATCTTCTTTGCTACCAATATGTACTTCCTTCGTTTTACAATGTAAGACTTTCTAGCGTTGTCCACATACATATAGATGTTAGAAAGTCTTATATTATGTAACGGAGAGAGTACACTCTTGCAACTTTTCTTTTCTTATACGTGCTATTAATTTCTTGAGAGTACATATTTGCAGCTGCATCAACTATTGGGATGAATGAGCCAAATGATACGCTCCAAATCTTCTCTTTGAAGTTATCCAGTAACGAATCATACCCCATTAGTGTCTATGGGATCTTTGCGGTACGCGATGAATTGGACAGGCTACGGAATTATGTCTTTAACCGCACAAGAGATAATCCTGTCTTGATTGAGCAGGTAGGGTTCTATTTTCAGGAACTTAATTCTATACTTCGGCTAAAATAGATTCTCAAAAGTATGACATAAATAAACACTAATTAGCCTTCTTTCTCGCTTGGATATATTGAACCCAATATGCTGTCAAATACTTATCATTTTTTATGGTTCTAAATGAAAATAAGGTTCTATGTTTGCAGTTGCATACTAGCATTTTAGGATATTAGTTTGTTGCTTTCAATAGTATTTTTTTTTGTTCACGTATGTGAGTGTATCACTTGCTTTGGCTGTCACTGTAATGTTCTGCTCTCATTATTTTTATTAGATGACCATTTCCAATCCTTAGTCCATACAAGGTATTGTGAGGTATAGATATTCCATTGTTAATTAATTACCTCTGGCACTAGAGATACACCTATACGTCTCAATATCATCCAAAGTGCTAGATAAAACTATTAATTAATTGTTATATATGAGGTCCATTTGTGTATCCAATTCTGCGATCTAAGACAATGCTAATGAGATTAAAAAAAATCCAATATTGTGTAGACCGTACCATGAATTCATGAGTGTACGTGTCCTATGGAATTCGTTCGTCGTTACACTCAGAAATATGTATTTATACGTTTCAATTTTATTCAATGTATTTCAAAATGGCTCAAGCTCTCTAATTAAATTCTTACAAGTTTATAAATAGAGATTTGCTCCGGTCCAACAAAAAGTACCTCGAGGTACCGGTACCTCATGGTACCAAATCATTTTCGATCGTTGAATCTAATAATGCCCATCCAATCCAGCTAGATCCAACGATCGGAAACGATTTGGTACCGTGAGGTACCGGTACCTCGAGGTACTTTTTGCTGGATCGAAGCAAATCTCTTATAAATATAACTGCAGGATTCCATTACCTTACCTCTTTGTAGCCCTTGCCGAGGAATGTATATACTAAGTTTTGCATTGTTCGAAGTCGATCTTTGGGTGAAGGCAGAATCAGAAGGTGGCGGATCAGATGACAAGCAATTGCTTTCTGAGTATGCTGAGATCGAGAACCGTGGCCTAAAAGATCCTATGATATATGGACGGATTCCAAGTGATCGTTGCCTGCTAGACGTAGACTGCATGTTCCTTCTCAACAGTGTTGAGGCTGTCATACAAGTCTTTACAAAGGATGACAGTGATAATCCTCATCGCGTGAGATTCACCGCCTTCAGCAGCGGCTTTGATCATGAGATCGTGTTGTACGATGACAGATTATGTAAGAAGGGGAAGTTGTTCCAGAATGTTGTCGCGGTGAAGTCTAAGGAAAAACTGGTTATTCGCTTAGAATTCGAGGGATCGACGTTTCGGTGGACTTTTCAGGATGGCGCTGTTGCAGCTGTTAGTTCTCCTGATGATTCGGTCTCGAAGCTGTTTGATGTGGTGGTTCTTTTTTCTCCAAAATCATAGTTGGTATCTGCGCCCTAAGTTGTCCTCTTTATAGGAGAAAGAACACATTGATCAAATGAAGAAAAAGCATGCTGCAACAAAGCATTCGCATTAAGATTATGAAAATAGCAAACTAGAAATGCCATTGCATTATTTGTTTTTACTGATATGGTATTATCGTCTAAGTACAACCACTTTGACTGCTATATTTTGACTTCTTTCAATTGTGGTTGAGATGTACCCCTTCCCCCCAAAATACCCAAAATATAAAGGATTTTGGTTAGATGGGAGCCTGTCCAGATTCGTAGTACTAGAATGTATCACATCTGACCAAAATCCTTTATATTTTTGGACAGAGGGAGTATTAATCAGCGACAGACCTACAATGTTCAACGTATGCTTGGCAATATATTATGGGTTCTCATTATTTGACCTACAAAATTTTGCAGGTTCAAATAATTCAACAGGAAACAAAAGATAAACTATGTTGGAAATTCACAAACAATGGTATCTGCAGTACAAAGAGTGCTTACAAGGAGGTTTACAAAAGAGAAATTTCAAATGCTCATCAGGTTCACTCTCAATCCCTTTCTATCTTGAAATAAATCTAGAAGAACAGATACATCCCTCCCAAAGTTAAAACTTTTGCCTGGAGACTCATCATGGAGGCCCTTCCTTCTTCCCAAAGGCTAAATCAGAGGATTCAAGACATTTTAGCAGCCTGCTGCAGATGTGGTCAAATACTCAAATAGAAACAGATTTCCACCTTCTCTTTTCTTGTCCTTTTAGTAAATTAACTTGGATGATCTCAGAAGCAAAACTCTACTGATATTTTTCCTGCTAATGTTCCTATGGCTCTTATTATTGCTTATATCATTAACAATGGCTCTTCCAATTCCACCCTAATTCGAACTCTGAATATCATGTGGTAGCTTTGGAAAGCTAGAAATGATCTTAAGTTTCAGGGAAAAATCAAGGAGCCAACTCAAGTTTGCATGGAAGCAAAAGCAATGATTAAAACTTATACAAACTTCCTTTCAAATGATTTGATGCAGGAGGATCTTGATGAGGAAGATACAAACAGAAGAATGGTGAATTTGCCTAATTGAATTAGATGCTACTCAGATGCTGCCTGGAGTGATAACGAAACAGGAATTGGCATTTTCTTTCACATACCTTCCTCTCATAATGCCATTTTTATTAGAGCCACAACCATAATGGCTCAATCACCTTTGAAGGGGGGAGCTGCTAGCATTTCAACTGGCAATGGAGATTGCCAGATTCTTGAAGTTCACTTTCTCACAGATAGTGCCATCATCGCGCGGACACTTGCAAGAGAAGAAACTTTCAAGAAGAACCAGGGCATTGGAGCTTAAGGCCAATTTGGAGCCAAATTTGTATGAGAAGGTTGGAGAATCTTTTGCAGGTTAACTGGATCCCAAGGGAGCTGAACAAATTAGCTGATAAGTTAGCTAAAGAAGCCAAATCTCAGCTATGCCTAAATCCAACTTACTCTTGTCAAAATATATCCCATATTGCCCTATCCCAACAGGAGATGTTATGCTAATCATATTAGAGACAATTTCAGTATCTCGAATTTTGCTATCCAATATGTACAATGCTATTGAGTTGAATAAAGAGTTTATAATTTTTTTAAAAAAATAACTCTACATACTCCCTCCGTTTTTTAATAGATGACGCCGTTGACTTTTTCTCATATGTTTGACCATTCGTCTTATTCAAAAATTTTATACAAATGTATAAGATATAAATCACACTTAAAGTACTATGAGTGATAAAACAACTCATAACAAAATAAATTATAATTACGTAATTTTTTTTAAATAAGACAAATGGTCAAATATGTGAGAAAAAGTCAACGGCGTCATCTATTAAAAAACAGAGATAGTACTTGTCTAGTACAAGACAACTGAGGTCTTCCAATCTGCGTACGTGGGAGCAGCTGAAACAAAGAAGAGTTTGGTCCGCTCTTCATCCAGGCCCGATCTGCCCATCTGCTGCTACGTCCGAGAATAGTGCCAGGCGAGGGTGCCACATGCCCCCCAGCTCTACTGCGGCTGGCCCCAGGGCTATGCAAAAGAATCGAGGATGGCCACCCCAGCGACAGACGATTGAGACAGGAAGGAGAGGGGCAGCTCCTGGCTAACAATCCAAGTGTCCAACAAGACCCACAAGCCTTATATATACACGTTTATTCCTGTTTCTTTTCTTCAAAAATACATGTGTCGCACCCTGTTACCGCAGAGGCAGAGCAACACAGCGACTCTCACACACGCAGAGCAGCACAGCGAGTCTCACGGTCAGCCCAGCCCGGCAAGCCCGCACCCTCAAGGCCCGTGTTGCCCCATGAGGGGTAACATGGGCAAGTATCACCTAGCCAAGTGGCGACAAGATACACGAAGCGTGCATTTTTTTTCATTTTTTTAAAAAGTATATTCTTGCAAAATCGTGCTATGAAAGTTAAAATGCTATACAATCGGCTGTCCATATTGTATAGCATAATCTCTATAAGTTTCCTGAACATCTGGGAATCATTTGAACCCTCTTCGCTTGCTGAACCCCACGTAGCCCATATGAGACTTTTGGGCAATCAGTATGACCAGAGAAGTACGATCATTTAATCTTTAACCTACTATTTATATTTTTTAAAAAAGAGCACATAGACATTGATTAACTATCATGTGTCAAGACCCCAATATAAGACCCCAATATTGTAGGCCTGAATTTAAGGGATCCAGATCCTCGCTACAGAGGGACGTCCGGCGCAGCTGCATCGTTCGTTCCGCATCGGACGAACGCGCGGAGTGAGGCGGCCAAACGGGCTCGCACTCGGGCCAAGTCAATGAAATAGGATGGGCCGTTTGAGCAGAAGGCTCGTTTCCTTGGCCAGAAAAATCGGCGCCGCTCCCAAGTCCTCCAGGACATCAGCCGGCGGCCGCTCGTCGTCTCCTCCGGCTCAGGCGCTATTGGAGCGGATCCCGGACAAAGCCCCTCCCCTCGTCGCCGCCCTCCTCCCCATCCCTCGCCCCCTCGCGCCGCGCGAGAGCCCTGCTTCATCCGGGAGATCTGCCTCGTCCAGGTCTGTCTTGACGACGATGGCTTCCACGGCGGCGCCCTTCACCACCACCCACATCAGAGCGGTGACAGGGGTAGCGCCGCCACTAGACGAAGGGCAGCCGTTGCTGCCAAGCCCGCAGCCACGACGACGACCACCACCACCACCACGGGCTTCTGGAGGAAGGCGACAGCTGCTCGAGAAGCCCAATTGAAATTGAATCGATGTGAATGCGATGATTGGATGCTTTTGTTGATTCGAGACTGATTAATTTGTTCAAATTGAGAATGTTCGAATTCTGCAATTTGAGATCAGTACTGAACATACATACATGGCATATATGCACAGGGACTTGTCTACAACTTGCTTGCTTGCAAAATGGCAAAAGAAAGCTGAGTTTATTCTCCGCCCGCACCTCAGCCAGATTGCCGGAGGGGACGACGAGCGGCCGCCGGCTGATGGCCACGAGGAATTGGGAGCGATCCCTATTTTCCTGGCAAATTTTCTTCGAACGGGAGCGCGAGCCCGTTTGGCCGCCTCACTCCGCGCGTTCGTCCGACGACGCAGCTGCGTCGAACGTCCATCTGAGTCAGAGGATCTGGATCCGAATTTAAGTTTAGGGAGCAACCAATGGTAGATGTTCATGTTAAATGGCTTATAAGCTATTTCTTCAAGATAAATTGCTTTTCATTCACGATTCCAATCAATCGGGTTACTGCCCCTCGCAGAATTAATTAAGGTAAGCAATGCTTTACATTTGTATTTAGTTAAAGCTTCAACTAACAGCAAAAAAAAAAAAACATATTAATGCCCTAATAAGTGAAATCGACGAGATGTTACAGATAAGGAGGCAAAGACAATAGTCCCGGCGTCACTTGCAAACTCTGCCTCATGAACTCACTACAGCACTGAGCATATGCTGTGAACAATGTGCAAAGAACAAGAGTGACCCATGCATTAGAGATTTACAGTACACAGGCGGAAATAATCCTAGCATCAGAAATATGAGATGCTGCACTTGCACCTAGCTCTATTGTTTCTTTCTAACTAAAGACCAAATTAAAGATTATCAAGGGCGCGCCTAGCTAGCTTCTTGAGCACAACCTTCATGTGCCACCAAGAAAATATGCATCCATATTGCAGAGATCCAGATTACAAAAAAGGAAAAGTGGACAAAAAAAAAAGAGCAGTCACCATCTGTTCGCCTTAATGTATCTTCTGCCCTTTTATGCAGCAAATGTTACGACCAATTAACTGCAAGCTCCTTATCTTGGAAGGTAATCTGTGGTTCTCTTTTGTAGGGCTGCACCACCTTGATGATCTCATCTGCATTGAGAATTTCTTTCTCCAATAGGGCATTTGCCACAGCCTGCAGCTGCATCTCATGCTGAAGAAAAAAAAAATCAAATAGCTACCTTTCTTTTTCTATGTTCAAGTAATATTCATTGTGAGGCAAACCCCTAGTCCTAGTTAAGAGACAAACCTTCTTCAGCAAACGCTTCACTCGCTCACGGGATTCTCCTAGGAGTTTCAACACCTACAAGCCCACATTATTAGCACACATGACACATTGAATCTCTTCACACGTTTATAGGGACCTATGAAATAGTACCTCTGCATTAATCGTGGCCTGCATTTGTACACTTGGCCATTTTTCCAGATGCATACGATCAACAGTATCACTGGTCTAACAGTATAATACCTAGAAAGACACAATTAAGCCAAGCTATTTCATGCATGTAACAAAAAAGGATTTACAGGGAAAAGAAACTCACCAATTTTTGGGCAAGCTCTTTAGCAGTAAAGAGGTCATTTTTCGCCCCAGCTGTAACAGTGTGCTCCCCAAACAACAGCTCTTCAGCAACTGCTCCACCAAAACAAACATCAATGCGGGCCAAGATTTTTTGTTTGCTAATTGAAGTATTTCCTGGTGAAGCGACTTGTGTGACCATTCCAAGAGAAAGACCATGTGGAAGTACAGTTGCTTGGTGTATGGGATGAGCACCCTGAGTGTGGAGTGCAACAATAGCATGCCCACTTTCATGGTATGCGATAAGCTAAGAAAAAAAAATAATTAGTGAAATGGAATTCACATTCTGTTCCAAAGATTGGTAGGTCAATGTATCTGTTTGAGCTAGTAGAATTGTTTGCTTGCTCTAAAGGAAAAGGTTAGAGGACATGCCTTTCTGGATTCACTCGATAGTAACAATGGCCTCTTGTGATTTCCCATGATGTGACATTTGGCAAACTCCTTATGTGCGGTGTCCTGTCCTTCAGCACCTTCTATTGCAGCCTTAATTGCTGCAATGATCACGAGATTTGCTAAACGGAGTGAAATAAAGCACAGGTAGAATATTGGTGATAACATCATAACCATTTGCAGTACCTTTGAAAGGTTCAACATTAATGTATCTGTCAAAAATGGAAATTCTGTGGAACAACTATACTCAAATAAAGGCTATAACTATGTAGGAATAACAAAAGGGAACAAATAGGAAAACATGACTGATGAAAAAAGTTGTTCGGTCTCTATAAAATCTCTGAAGTCATCACTTGATTGGTTCATGCTTCCAAAAGGAAATGCTATTGTATTACTTTACTAGAGATAGAAGATAGAGAAAAGTAGTGCGCACCAGCCATTTTAGAGTCAAGTGTACTGTCTACATCACTGCACAAAGGATTGTCTTGCAAATAGAGCTCCAATTTCTCCTGTTGCCCCCCCCACCCCCAAATAGAAGCACGCACACACACAAAGAGAAAGAGGAACATCAGAAAATAGCAATATAGTACAGAAGCTTGATAAAATAATCAATCTTATGCAGCTGCACTAGAAATGGTGGAATCAATAGAATGGCTGGTATCACTTCCTTCCATGGTAAGAATACATTTATTCAGGTAACTTACATGTTTTATAAGTCGATGAGGTTCTGTAAGTTCTGGGTCAAGTTGAAAGGACGACAGCACATCTTTTTTCGAAGATTCAAACACGGGTATGATTCTCCTAGCACCAACACCAGAAAATAGTCACAGGAGAATATGAGGGTTAGTTCAGCATAAACAAGAAGTCATGATTAAGATGGAGAAATGTTAACGGTGAAGTGTCATTCAAGACATATACAGAGGTATATATTGTATATTTATGTCTTTGTACAACAAGACAAACAATTGCTAAATTGAATTAGTACTACATGAATCAAAAGGGATATAAAGAGAAGTATAAAGCTCAATCCAATTGTACAAGTGATCTCACATTTCCTCAAATTCAGAGGCTGTTTGGCAAAAGAATGGTACACCAGCTCTTGCAGAAGTAACCTAAAGCAGAAGAGAACCTCCAGTAAGGTGAAAGGTACATGATTACAAGGAAACAAATGTAGACGAAAAGAATGTGCAAAAAAGTGACATATGTATGTAGTTTTACCTTATATCCCACAGATTCTTCATTCATCTCTTCTTGATGGTCTGGTGAGCCGGAGTACTCATCACATTCACTGAATGTCATGTAAGCATTCTCAATCAGAGTCGGTTGATTTTGTTCGTTGTTGTTAGTGGGTGGAAATTTTGGGGATCGTTCTGTGAGAAAGCCCCAAGAAGGATCATCCAAACCGTGTTCACGACTCCTTCTTAGCTCATTTTCAGTCCATGCAACATCTATTGGGCCATCTATGGACAGATGTACAGGCATATCCTTTAGAAGAAATAGGTTCTCTGCCTTATCAAAAGTCCTGTGGATAAGCCGTACCTCTTCAAGAAACTCCTTTGCTTCTGCTTCTGTCACATCTTTCTTAGAACTTTTTTCTGTGGCATCATGGTCTCTTCTACCTTTTTCTGCAATTTCACTTTGTGCACCATCTCCTTGGAAAATTGACTTAACATCCCCACAAGTTTTACTCCATGATCTTGCCTTTTCAATTTGTCGTTTCCCAAAAACATGTGCTGGTGATGCCCTGAAGTTCTTGTGAATTTTATCAAGAAAGAGATTGTCGGACTTAGCGGCTTCTGGAAAGTGTAAGATCATAACTTCACCAGCTTCTCTTACTTCATCATCTGAGGGCATAGGAGCTTGACCATCAACATACCGATGAAGAATAAGAAATGACTTAAGAAGAGCATTATCTCCACATTTTGCTTGATGGGCAGTCACATATGCACCATCCCAGGGCAGCTTTTTTGCATGTTCAATGAATTCTGATTTTGTGACCCCCAGGTATCCATTCTCCCTAATACGAAGATCATCAATCTTCCCTGTGCTTCTAGTAATATAACCATTGAGGTATCCAGAAATACCTTCAATTAGAGCACAAAGCCACTTCCCTTTGTAGTGCATGTACACTAGGAAATGACCTTTTGGTGGGAGAGCACAACATCTTCGATACGGGTGACCAAATTCATATCGTGCGTCAGATGTATTGTAGCACCATAGACGATAATCTAGCACCGACTTTCGCCATCTGTTTCGCACTTGTACTTGAGTACCTTTCAGATCCACCACGGTGTAGTTCTGTTTTAGTAAAAAAAAAAATGTCCACAAATTAAAAGAGGCAATAAGGGGGAATCATGTCTGAAAAAAGGTCACGTAGCTTATAAATAGAACAGCTTGTGATCATGTTACACCACAAAACATTTGAGAACAAATACGAGTAGTTGATATATTACACATTTGATAAATAAGGAAAAGGGTAAATAAAATACTACATCCGTTTTTTAATAGATGACGCCGCTGTTGACTTTTAGAATAATGCTTGACCATTCGTCTTATTCAAAAAGTTACTGTTAAAATATGCTAACGTGTAAGTCATACTAAAAATTTCTTTAATGATAAAGCATGTCACAACACAATAAAGCTTTTGAATAGGACAAATGGTCAAACGTCGTGACAAAAGTCAAAGGCGTCATCTATTAGAAAACGGAGAGAGTATATGTAACTATTATACTTTAGATAATCCCATGAAACACATTTTTCATAAAACTATACAGAAGCATTCTGCATTCACAAGAATAAACACACCACAAAATTTGAACTCCATCTAAAAGAAAGTTCACTCGCAAACTGCCATGACCAACTGACCATGTGGACTAATATTAGGCAAAAGATATGAAAAGGTATGTTTTATTTGTCACCACCCTCACGCTACCCCATAGAACGTATCTCCTCCTCAGGCCCACCTTCCTACCTCACATCAAGGGCCTGTTCACTTTGACGCCAAAAAAAACCTTACCAAAATTTGGCATAGTTGCCAAAATTTTGGCAACTTGCCAAAATTTTGGCAGGATTTCTTATATAGTTTCCAAAATTTGGCAGCAAACTAAATGTAGCCATTTTTTTGGCAACTTTACCAAAATTTGGTAAGGTTTTTTTTGGCATCAAAGTGAACAGGCCCCAAACCTCCTCGACGTGATTCAATTGTCTCAACCTAAATCCAACCTTCTATATCACTCATTACCTCCATATCTCTTCTTTCTATAAAGCTAATGCCCACTAAACACCTAAAGCTCAACATGCAAGTATGCCACATTAATAACCCATTAAGCACACAAAGCTCAACATGCAAACATATAGTAATTATATCTACAACCTATTTCAATCTAATACTAAACATACGCATGCTAAATGATCATTCTCAAATCATTTTCACAATATTTCAATCCAAATCATTTAATCATTTCTACAATATTAACATATATCCTGCAGCAGAGCGCGGAGCATCATCTAGTAAAACTAATGGTCATATCCCTAACCCCCTAACTCTCTTGAACTCTCTTCCCCTCCCTTCAACCATGTCACCCCACGTGCCACCTTGCAAGTGCTGGCAAAACCCATTGGCATTCCCTCTATGAACACCTTCCTCCTTCCACAACAGATCCCGTCCTAAAGTACATGCCCCTCTTCCTTCTTCACATCTCCCATGACTTGCCATTGTACTGCTTTAGCTTGCCCTTGCCACTCCCACAGCAGATCCTAACCATCAACGGCCTCTTGCCTGCCTTGTTCCTAGGGATGCAAGCGGGGCGGGCAAGCGGGTTATTTTAGCCCGCTTATCTCACTTCTAGGTCATTTTTTCTTCTAAATTTTGTACTAGCATGTGGGAAATGAACTAGCAAGCGGATTTTTATGCGGGTAGCGGGACTACCCACTTGCATCCCTACTTGTTCCCTTTTACACCCGTGAAACACATCTTCTTCCTCGGTTCCTCCACCACCTACACCTTGGCATGCCTTCGCCGAGGAAGACATCCCTCATCAACTATCGGAGTACAATTTGTGCGATAAAGGAAAGTCACTCATAACCAAGAAAAAAGGGCAGATTATAGTATTATAAGAGAAGTATATTGCATTATTGCAGCCCTGCTTGTTACATGGAAGGCATATGTCAGGCCTGGCAATTCAGAAAAGGAGTCTAAACAAACCTTACCTCTATGAACACAAGAGGAGAAAAATCATATTCTACCTCATAGATCTGAACATCTGAAGTTGTATATTTGAAAGAAAGAAACCCAAACTACAAACTTACTAGGTGCAGGACAACTTTTAGAAAAGAAATCCCAACCTTGGGCGACCCAACGGACGTAATAACCAAAACAATCTACGGCACACTATTCATCATTAGATAAATCTGACTACAGTTTAGCTAAGTAATGTATCTTGTATGGATACTGTACCGGAGATGGTCGATCCAGAGGTGGTGGTATTGTATATGGGATCCGCGCTTTTTCCCGAGCGACGCGGCCCTCTTCTACTCTTCCGCCGCCGCCGCCGCCGCTGCTGCTGCTGCCGCCTACAAGCATCCCCTTCCCTCTCCCTTGCTCCATTACTGCTTCCCCTTCTGTACGGATGTACCCTTCTTCTAGCAGCGTACTGCCGGACCCGTCCCCCTCTTCCACCGCCGCAAGCCGGCAACCACACCTACGGCTGCCGCACCCTTCCCTTGATCGTCACCTGCATGCGCGGCTATCCCCGCCGCCGCACTCCACCACCACCACCACCACCACCGCCACCGCCACCCCCAACCCCAAATCCACAACCTGCTCGCTCTCTCTCTCTCTCTCTCTCTCTCTCGCGTAAGGTTTAAGCTCAGTGACTAAAGTGAGGTGGTTTTTTTTTTTCTTACAGCGGCTGCGGAGCTGGACTTTTTTTTTTACATTTTAACCCTTCTTTTATAAACTTCTTTTGCTGCGAGTTTTTTTTTATTGTCTTTCTGGTCATTCACTCTTTTCTTTTTTATATTTTATAATCCGTGTACAAGGCACATATGAGTATGACTGCGTGGCTTCGTTTGAGCCTCCCGTGCATGCAAATCACACTCAAAATCTTTCATCTGCTCTTACGGGTATTTATACTATAGATTGAAGACATAACATTATATTTCACGAATTTTAAATAGTACCATTATCGTTTATAGGTATTTGAAATATACCATTACTTATCCTTTCTACGCTTACCAAAATATTTAGATCAAATTATCTCTCTACTTTGTCCATCCCCTTCCTCCTTCCCTCCTCTAGGGTGGTTGCATGGTGACGGGATAGCAAGTGGCCACGTGCGGCGGTGGGTAATCATAAGACTACAAATTCAGAAATATATTTATCAAAAATCTATAAACTTAAGCCATTATATCTCATAACTATAGTTCTAGTGTCATCTTTTTTCATAAAACTATAGATGGAGCATCAATTTTCTCACAAAACAAAAAAAAATTACCACGATAATAGGTATAGGGATAGCACATATGGGTTTGAAAAAAAGATGATACTAGACCTATACTTAAATATATATAGCTTTGCATTAAAATCATTCCTAAATCAATAATTTTGTTATACCATGGATTAAATATACAATTTTTTTGATAAGTTTATTGAAGTATCAATTAATTCATTGAACCTCTCATGCATATACATAATAAAAGAAAACATTGCATCTAGGAATGGCAACCCTGTGCCATGTATATGATCTTGTTTAGATTGTTATATTGATATCTGAACTTGTTTGTTATATTGATATCTGAACTTGTTTAGATTGTTATATTGATATCTGAGAGTCATATGAGCTCGGTGCCAAGAGTCTTGGTGCGACCATCGGGGTGCAACCGTGCGAGCTCTTTATACAAAGATATTACTAAGATCTATTTTATGATAACTTCTTTTAAAGATTTATTTGTAAAATTAGTTTTTGGGAGGAGCTAAAATGTAAAAAGAAAAAAACAATGAGATGCAAAGTGTGGAAGGGTATTTACTGCTGGCCACGTGGTTTGTAGTCCACCAGACCACCGTAGACAGACACGTGGTGAACCCGTGGTTTGCAATGGAGCATGGACTGGTGAACCCGGTGTTGCACAAATAGCAGAGCTAGTGGATGCCGGGAAGGCGGGAACATCGGAGACTGCGAAAATTTCCCGCCAGGAATTACAAGTACTGCCCCCTTCATTCTAAATTGATCTACATATATTTCATACATCTATTTCAAATTGATCTATATATATTTCATAGGTACACCAAGACCAAGAAAAACTAATAACTCTCTCATACTATTTTTACTCTAGCAACAAACTCAATGCATGCACCATCGCCACTACTCCCTCCATTCCATAATACAAGGCACAACCACTTTTTTTTAGATGTTCCATAATATAAGACATACATGCATGTATACCATTAACTATGACAATTCTCCATTAAATTACTACTTTTCTAAATGCTTCACTCTCACATTCTCTAACTCTATTGGATGCATGCATTACATTTATTAGGATGATCCAAACTACAAGGTGATAATAACTATTTCTTGGTCTTTGAGTTAAGTGTGGTTGTGCCTTATATTTTGGAATAGGGTGGTAATAAATACTTGTGTGCATGGATGCATGCATCAATGTCCATTTACTCCAATGCACAAATAACAAATAGACTTAATAAATGAACACAAATATGTGATCATTTAGGAATAACCTAAAAAAACTATAAGTAGATCAATTTGGAATGGATAGAGTACTCCGTAAATTCTATTTGAAAAATAAGAAAACTTTACTTGGCCTCAAAAGTCAAAACCAATATTTTTTATTTATACTATTTTACTTATAATATTTGAAAAATAAACCCCTCCAAATTTTCTATTATTACAAAATAGATATTGCTTCTAGTTTTTAAAATATTTTTATTACAAAATTGCATGCCTAATGAGCGCTTTAACTTGACCAGCACTGTGCTGTGCGAAAAACTGATAGTTTTAACTTTTAACTAGTAGTCGCATAATGCCCATGTGAATTGGGATCACATGCAGGACTACAAGTTAAGCTATTGCATATAATAGGAGTCATCTTTTTTTAATGAACGGATCATATTATTAGCTACAGTGCTAATGTAAAAGCACTTGACAATCTTCTACATTGAGCTACAGTATCCATAGGTATTTTGACCATGGGATCCGGATCTAACAGCCGGAAGTGGACTGCACAAGTTGCAGCCACACTTGCTCTCAAGTATAGTTGCTATGAACCCACTCATATCACACTTGCTTATTGATATGGGAAAATGGGTTAACCCGACACGTGATGTCGGCAAGTTTACGAAATAAAACATGTTTACGGAAAGTAATTCCTTGCGGCTTCCATCTAATCATTATATGGTACGACCACATGGGTGATGTGGGCCCTCCAATCCTTAAGCTTATGTATAATTGCCCGGAGGTTTATTTTGTCGCATGTCGGGGGCATTTTTATCCATAAACACAACGACAACAACAAAAAAGTCATGTAGAGGCAATTTTTAAAGCGAGACATTTTAAATGTTGCATAAAACACTTTTAATCTAGATATACTTTTAGCATAACTAGTTGGGTGCCCGTGCGTTGCAACGGGAAAAAGAATATGCCTCAATTTCAAATCACACCAAGTGAAATAATCACTCGGTGTAAATTTGTCCCCAAAGAACATGATATAAATAATGTTCTACTATATAATAATACTACTAAGGGTACACGGCATCAATGTTAGCAAATTAAATGTTTGAAAATAAAAAGGCCTAATGCCTGTCATTTCATCAATGAGCAAGCATAAAAGAAAAGCTGATCAATCCCTTTATGCAAGACCCATGTAGCTTCATTGAGTGACGTCAACATTGCCCCATTACGAGTCCTGTTAACAGAGTTCTCCATTATATTTTGAACAAAGTTAAGGCAAAAGCCTCTGAAAATTTAGTACCTAATGTGTATTCCCTCCATACTCGCAAAGGAAGTCGTTTAGGACAGTGACACGGTCTCCAAAACACAACTTTGACTTCTTGTTTCTATAAAAATATTTATTGAAAAGTGATATATATATATATATATATACACACACACACACACACACACACTTTTATGAAAGTATTTTCCAAGACAAATCTATTCATATAATTTTTTTATTTTCAAATTCAACAACTTAAGAGTTATTCATGATTTATATTCCTAAAGTTTGACTTAAACATTGTCCTAAACGACTTCCTTTATAAGTACGGAGGGAGTATCATTACAGTCTATAGCGGTGGGTACCTTCATTTAGCGAGGTTAACTTCGTTCGTTCAATCATGCCAAAATCAATAGAAGATGAGGCTTGCTGAAAGCTGGAGAACGCCTTCTGAATCAAGAAGAAACAATACTGTCTATTCCCTGATTTTCGCATCACTATCGGTAATATCATAAGTTATGTGGTATTGTCTAGTTGTTGGGCACATCCATTTTATCTTGTTTGTTCTAACAGGATCAATAGTATGACCATGGCACCTGCACAACCGTTTATTAAGCTACAAACTGCTTAAAAGACAACCTGCAGTCAAGAACTTCATCAATTTCAGACAACTATCTTTAACTGCAGAACTGACCCAATGGCATGATGTTTGTCCTTCGAAGCTCATTTGTGTTACTCACACGGGATGACTATATTTCCCAGGTTTACATCTCAGCCAGTTCTCAAAGTTGCGCAGAATAAATGATGTCTCACCCAATTTCTCTATTATCCACTCGTTTTCTTCAAAAGTAGCAAAGCTTTCCATCTACCTCAAGAAGCACTCCCCCAGTTAATTACAGTTATTATGCACGTGTAAAACAATTAGCAATCCATCATAAGCATGCACACAAGCATTATCCATAGAATAATAGAAAACTATTAAAAAGTATTCAGTGGCTGAAAAAAATGAAAAAGATACTGATTTAATCATTTGAGCTCACAGCCAAAGTTCAGACAAGATAAAAAATGGAGCTACCTCAGAATCATTCCAAAGCTCGCTATCTCCTATTCAGAGTTGATGGTTTTCCATATCCAACTTGTTATGAGAAATGTGAGAAAATAAAGCTCTGTTGAGCTGTATTTTATAGTCAACGGTAGTGCAGAACCAAATGTTCCAAGCAAATGCACAGAAGATGGCTAGAAGGGATGACATCGATGCAAACTTCTGATGAGCTGAAACTATTTCCTGAATTTGTTGAACAAGAAACTAACCCATGTAGATAGTCAGAACTCTTCATCATCAACAATCAAAATCAATAATTGCTAGTTCCCAAAAACCTCATGCCCTGCCTGTTCTAGGATTGGCAATATCGACGCCCACGGGTGCCGTTTCCTCCCTGGAGGTGTTGCCTTGTGGACTCCCTCCCCCCTGGGTGAAAACCAGCCCAGTTTTTGGACGGACGTCGACAGCGGCTTATGTCGTTATTCACCTCCTTGGAGATTTCATCTTACGGTCTTGCTCATCCCTCGGCCTCCGACAGTTCGTAGTTGTCTTGTCTCAGGCTTTTTGTGTCTTCTGTGTAAGGTTTTCGCTGGTTTCACTTTAGCAAACCGGGCAGTTGTATGTTTTTTGGGCCCGGTTTTCCTTATAAACAGGGTGAACTCTATTCGTCTAATATATTCGGCAATGCTCTTGCCACTTCAACTCAAAAAAAAAACTCATGGCCGTTTTGAATCTATCGAGCAGTACTCATCAAAAATCAAAATATGTGCAGTCAAATTTAGAATTACAAGGAAACATATGTTTTCAATTTTGCTTTAGATGAAAAAAAATGTAAGTAATAAAATTAGTGGACTACTTGGAGATTTTTGAAATTACCATTGGCGTATTCAAAGGCAATTGGAGACCGCTGAAGTGACCAGCCGCTGCCAGGTTGTGGCCTCTGCTTCTGCTAAGTAACGGAGTTTCTTCAGAAGTGACGGATCAATTCTGCGCTCATTCCAAAATACTGGCATTGGTTATATTCTGCATAAAATTTCAGAACAAACTGAAAGATTGATTTCAAATACTACAGACTGAGGATGGTTAGTATAAAAATTTCAGAACAAACTGAAAGATTGATTTCAAATACTACAGACTGAGGATGGTTAGTATAAAAATTTCAGAACATGAACCAGTTGCTAATCCACGGCTGAAAGCCAACCAGCAAAGTGAGGGTTCACCCTGGAGGAAAGCAGCTGTGAATCATTAGTTACCGTGGTACACCCTCAAAACTGAGTATAACATATTCCCACGCTACAAACTGGTATAGTTCAGATAGATTATTTTCCTGTGCTCTTTCCCATACTATTTTCATAAGATAAGATCCGTAGATTATTTTCAATTTTCTTGAGTCTGAAATCATTCATTCAGTTAATTAGGCCATGACTTGACTCGGGTTACTAACAGGTCAAAGCCCCCTGAATAAATGACCATTCTAATTCTAAATAACACAATGGATCTAAACCTAGGGAACTGATCACAGATGAACGCCAATAATCATATATGTATGTACTCCAATAAGCAGGAATATAGGATCACTGATGCACTGCAAACTAATTTTTCTTATAAAACCAAATACATTTATTTGTTCCGAGGATGTATATTGTACCTGCTTGGAATGGACTCTATAAACTGAGGAATGAGACGAGGGCATGGCCTGACGAGGCTTCGCTTGATCCCGCAGCAATTCCAACCTCGACAAATGATCTGAAATTGAGCAATGAAATGAAACCTGAGTATTTGTTGTAGCTGGAAACATTTTAACTGGTAAGAAAAAAAGACTGCTTCATGAGAAAATTGACCATTGGTTGCTTAGACAAGTTCCCTACCGAGTTCATGGATGAACTAACCGACAACCAAAGCAAGTGGCACAAAATATCCTTATAGAGAAAAAAAAATCTAATTCACCTATGCATTTATTTGCTTCAATATTAATGCTAAAACCGATCCATCCAGCGACAATTTTTGACAAACTGATGAACTGATTTTTTTTTTAATTGAGACTGTTTGAGATAAAAATTCATTTTAGAAGGAGTATTAATTAGCATGACCCTGACCTGTTACTCTGACGGTAGAAACCATTTTCTTGAGGGTGCAGGTATCTATCAGTTCAGAACTGCTATTACACGCCATGGGATCATATTAACAATGCTTACTTATAATTGCAGCAAAATCAAGAAAATAAGGGGAAAAAAATTAATTCTGCATGTCTGATGCTTCACAAGTTCGATCATATTGTCCATATGGAATATATGCCCAGGAGTGATATGATATTTCTTCAGATGTAACAATCTACTTGTTCTGAAGCTATTATTTGTGGGGGTTATGTGGGTGATCGCTTACCTTAATGGACACATCATGCCCAACTAAATCCATATTTGGGTTTTCAATTCTTGTTGAGAACACAGTACGTACTTGCACTGATTTAAAGATAACCCTGTCTCAAGAGAGAGGAGATCCAGCAACAGTGTTATGCAACAGTGTCATTCAGTCTCTACACAAGCAGCTGTCCTAGTGTTCTCATTTGTCCATTTAGCATAATTTGTACAAACATGGCAGGCAAAGACAAAATCCCCGATCTCTAATTCCCATGTTTGAAATTTAACACGCCTAAAAGGACAAAATCCCCGATCTGAAAACATGTAGATGGATTTGTAGAAAGAGATGGGGAAATTTTAGGGTTTGGGGGGAAGATAACATGCAGCCGGTTGGGTTCGTCATGTGGCGTCGTCAGCTGCACTCACCCTCAGTCGCCATGCGCCACCGTGCTCGCCCTCAGCCCTCTTGAGTTGGAGGGCACCTGCAAGGCGGGAGAAGAGGCTGCGGAGATAGGGGGCCGGACGGAGGAGGCGGACTACTCACAGAATGGGGTGGCGCCGAGGAGATTGGCTTCCGGCGGCGCGCGTGAAGGCGGTCGAGGCGGGAGAAGAGGCGGCGGAGATCGGGGGCGGGGCGTGCGTGGAGGCGGTCGACGAGCCGGAGATTGGGTCGTAGTGTGCCTTCATCAGCTGCCAGCCTGCCCTCACCCTCAGCCGCCATGCGCCGGCGAGGCGGGAGAAGAGGAGGCGAAGATTTGGTGCGGGGCGGAGGAGGCGGACGCGAAGGAAACAGAGATGGGAGACGGCGTTGAGAGGGAGAGAAAATCGGGGGAAAGGGGTGTGTGTGCGCGCCGCGTGCGATCAACGATGCGTGGGGCGCGTGCGGAAGATTGAATTGTGATCTGATCTGTTGGATTCAAGACCACGAGGAGGCGACGCAGGGAGGAGGGCGAAGGACGCGGCGTGGGGAAAGGAGTGGGCGTGGCGCGTGATGAGGAGAGGAGCGATGGGAGGAGATTTGACGCCATTGGATATGAAAATCGGATGGTTGAGATTAGACGTGTTTGTTAGATGCGTCTGCTATGTCAGGAATCAAGACCACCACTACAGATTTTTTAAGTAGTAGAGATTTATTAAATTTATCTTGCAGAGACACTCTTTTGGCACTTTAAAATTTCAATCTCTATAGAGACACTTATAGAAATTTTAATCTAAGCTGATTAACTAGATAAAAGTAACATTGGGCTCATATGTAAGAGTGTAACATGAGGTTGAGATGGTAAGACCATTCTAGTTAAAAATGGTATATTCAAGATGCCTTGAGTTCAAAGATTGGCAGTTGCAAGGAAAGTGATATTGTTTTTTTTATTATTTTTTTACATTGGTTTGATATGGTTCTGGTAGGTTAATGCCTTTAGAAAATGCCTATACTCCCTTATAGACATAAAAAATTCCTATATGAATGTGCTAGAAAGCATAGAGATATTTTCTAAAGTATCTGTCACGCCCAGAAATTTAGCCCAAAATTTTCAGACTATTTTGTGTATTAAATCTCTATCCGGGAATCAAGTCAGGGTACACAAAACGACAAATTAATATACATATACAAACGAAAATAAAGCGTAAATTATTTACAGACAAGGCACTTAGTCCTCACACCGAAAAGAAAGCAGCAGCAACCGAAAAATACGATCCTAGCGGGGCTTCAGCTCCACCCCACATCAAAAACTCAACTGAGGTATAAGCCTTGGTCCTCTAACTTCGTCTTCAGCTCAGAAGCACTACACTTCTGAAAAGGGAGAATAATAGCAAGGTTGAGTACAACCACCGTACTCAACAAGTCGCACCAATGATGTAGACGTGCAATGGGAGTCAAGGACGGTTTTATAAAGGCGGTTTGTAAATATTTTGTAGCTGGAAACAGTAAAACAATTGGTTAATTAAGACAAGATTATATATCCACTGAACAAGGCTACACCACGTTGAACATGCCAACCAAACCACCTGAACCACATCAGTTCATTATGTCAAGTTAATTAATAGAGTGGGACTAATCACGGTGAAGCTAGTTGATTGCCCATAACCGCGGACACGGCTATTCGAATAATTTTACTTTGATCAAAGGTGTACAATTGTACCTACAAGACATAGCCCCACGACATGTTTCCGTGCGCCGACATGTCAGCAGGATACACCGGAAAGAGACTGTGATAAGACCCTTCGCATAACCCCCTTTAACCAAGTGTACCACACCTCAGATTTCGCCCCCACTCCTCAGCAGGCAGCGGGCAACCCTTTCTTGTGCCTAGGTGAATCCGGCAGCCGTATAGGCCGTCACAGGGCCCATCCAAACTCCATCACGCTCGCCCTTGCCTGGAAATTTACACTACAAGCCTAGCCGTTGCCCACGCTAGCTTGTGGTAAGCACGGTAGTTCTTCGAGGGTTTCCCGCGAACCGATCCTTAATTGCCATGGGTGCGACTAGCAAAACCATGCACCCATAGCCCACCATTAAGCCACATTTTAGTTGGATAATTATGACAAAAAAAACATGGCCAGATGTCTCGAGCTCACAGCTCATCAAGATGCTAAGTGTAAATAATGTAATTATCCCATTATGTGAGCTAGTGGTAATTAAGCATGACTAAGCATACATAAATGATTCTTGCATACATAATTGACCATATTTATCATTTAAACTACTTACTGTCGACATTAATACGATGAAAAAAAAATTAGAAAAAACAAAATCTAAAAATAGCCAAAAAGGGTACGGTCAGAAACGGTACCCCTTATACGGAAGCAGCGCTCGGTTGATTGGGAATTTCCGTGACTGTTTTCACCCCTACGGTCAGACCATCGGGTCAGTCGGTCTGACAACCGCAACACCTGCGGTCTGACCGGCGGCACCCAGTCGGTCTGACCGCTAGGGTCAGCCGAAAACACCAAATTCACAAAATCAACCGTCTATTAAACTCCAAAATATCATCAACAAACAACCAATATTTTCATCACAAAATCTAAATTAGCTCCTTGATTTTACATTTTGCACGAGTGGATGTTGGTATTTCTTAACGACATTACTAAAAATATAATTCCCAGCAATGGCGCATAAATACTTCTGGTATATTATGGTTACAGAGTTCATCTGCAAGCGCACGGATATACCATTGTAGCATTTCACCCGAGAGTATTCCAAGTGTATCGTATTTATTTTATCCCCTGGGAAGATCATACAGAGAGAACTTGAGTAATAATTTATTTTACTTATGATAATCATATTCTAAGCAGGGGTTAAAATAATCCAAGGGTAGAGTGACACACAAGCATTAACTACTCATTCTCATAATATATCATCTAAGCTATGTGGAAAGAAAAGATAAAGAAAATATATTCTTATACTTCTAATATACATAGTATACATACTGTCGGTGACATGGGACCGGGAGTATCATGACTTAGAGACTTGAGGCAGACACGATCACCCACGTGGCCTAACCCCCTCGGGGGGGGGGGGTCGGGCCCGAGGGTGATACGGCCGCCCTTCTCTTTGTCTCCCCGAGGGGTCGGACCGCTCCCGTCTCGGCCCCGAGGGCCGAGGCGCCCCGACCCCTTGTGGGTTTTGCGCCGCGTATATGGGGTAGGTGAGCATAGCGGGGCTCACCTAACCGCATTTATTGCGGTTTGGACGAGCGCGTCACGCCACATGTAGCGCAGTATGGCACGCTCGTTTATCCGGTCTGTGACCGGTCACAGATCGGTCAGATTGCGGGTTAGGTGGCAACAGGCGATCTGACACACGCCTCGCCCCGTCCCGTCAGGATGAGAGTCTCTAGGCACTCGTCCCTAGCCGGAGCCAGCGTGCTAGCTCCTGGAGATGGCACGTTGGTCCTGGTCAGATATATGCCAGGCTTTATCCCAACCTTTATAAGCAAGACGTTGTATGAAGAAGGGCGAACATGCAGATTGCTAAACTGACACGTGGTGGACAAAGGTGTCCGGTCTGTGACTGGTCTGACACTGGTTATGTCGCCGGAAGACAACCGTGTTCCCACGTTGCACCTGCTTCCGGCGGAGTGGAGGTAGGTATGGGCCGTCCCATCAGAAGGGTCACTCGGGCAGCAGCCGTTGCAAATCTCCGCCCATTTATGAAGAGATGACAGGGTGATCCCCGAGGTCAGACGAACGAGGACGCGTGGCCACACTCAAAAACAGGCAGTGTTTCAGCTTCCAAAAGAAGGCAAGCCAAGTTTTACTATAGATAGGATGGGCCCCCACCCAAAAAAGGAGAGAGGGAGAAGTGGTGCATGTGGTATCCCCTTGAGATATAAAAGGAGGACCTTGCCCACTTAAGAGGGGAGGCTGGAAGGGGGGAGGATCTGGAGAGGAGATCCCACGAGAGAAAAAAAAAAGGAGAAGAGGGTTTTTAGAATAAGAGCTCTCTGGCTCTCCAGCTCTTTGTAGCTTCTTCATACACAGATCCACTAGAACACAGGAGTAGGGTATTACGCTTCTCAGCGGCCCGAACCTGTATACATCGCCCGTGTCTTGTGCTTTTTCCATTCTCGCGAACTTTCCACAGACTAGGAGCTTAGAATCTCACCCAGGGCCCCCGGCCGAACCGGCAAAGGGGGGCCTGCGCGGTCTCCCGGTGAGGAGCCCCACGCTCCGTCATCTGGCGCGCCAGGTAGGGGACTCTGCGTGTGTTTTTCTAAGCTCTCGCATTCTTTCGTGTGCGCCAAGCTTTTCCTGTTCAGCCCAATGGCTGAACAAGCAAAGGCGCACAACCTCTCTCCGAGTGTTAGCGGTGACGACGGGGAGCCGAACCCACGCCGTCGAGCTCGTACTCCACCGCCCCCTCCACGCCAAAGTCCTAGGCGGGAGGAGGCGCTCGAGAGGGTCGAAGGATCCGCGACTTCGACATCCACGGGTGATGGGGAAGGGCGGCGAGATGGGGAGCGTCGCCTCCTCGTCTACGGCGACGGCAGCACGCCCCAGGGCGCGCTCCAAGCTGCGGGCGCGCTCCTACGTCACCCGCCCATTGTCCCTGACCCAGAGTCTCCAGCCCAACGTTGGCTGGACGACGTGGCCAACTTGGTCATGACGGCACGGCAGCGCCTAGATGCTGGTGGGCGGTCCTCCGCCACCAAGACCTCTGGTACTGCTACCACCGGCTCCGCGTCGTCAAGACGGAGGGCGCGGCGAGCGGCGGCCGCTGTTCGCCATTCGGCCGCCACTCCTTCGTCAGCGCCTCCGACCCGGGAAGATCTGCGTGGGGGGCCGGATGCCTGCATCAGTATCGAGCGCCGGCGTAATGGCCGACGTGCTGCCCACGCAACGGAGGGCGCCTCCTCGTCCGGAGTGTCACCTCAACACGGACGCGGGGATCAGCCCTCCGTGCCCCCGGTTGGTGGTGTCGGCTGTAGAGCCTTTGTGGCGAGCCTTCGGAACGTCCGTTGGCCCCCAAGGTTCCGGCCCACCATCGCCGAAAAATATGACGGGAGCGTCAACCCCGCCGAGTTT